GCTTGGTCGCAAATGGGTCTTCCAAATGGACAATGACCCCAAGCATACTTCCAAAGTTGTGGCAAAATGACTTAAGGACAACAAAGTCAAGGTATTGGAGTGGCCATCACAAAGCCCTGACCTCAATCATATAGAAAATGTGTGGGCAGAACTGAAAAACCGTGTGCGAGCAAGGAGACCTACGAACCTGACTCAGTTACACCAGCTCTGTCAGGAGGAATGGGCCAAAATTCACCAAACTTATTGTGGGAAGCTTGTGGAAGGCTACCCAAAACGTTTGACCCAAGTTAAACAATTTAAAGGCAATGCTACCAAATACGAATTGAGTGTATGTAAACTTCTGACCCTTTGGGAATGTGATGAAAGAAATAAAAGCTTAAATAAATCATTCTCTCTACAATTATTCTGACATTTCACATCCTTAAAATAAAGTGGTGATCCTAACTGACCTAAGACAGGGTATTTTTACTAGGATTAAATGTCAGGAATTGTGAAAAACTGAGGTGTATGTAAACTTCAGACCTCAACTGTATCTTCCATGGAGAAGTTCTTAAAAGGGGAGTGGAGGTAACGCTACTGCAATATCAGATATCAACTTTATGAGATTCTGCAGTGCAACTACAAAAAAGACGACCTGGAACGGCACTACAGTGTCTGTGTCACATATTACTGATCCATGCCGTCAGCTGCACTGACTGACTGGACGTCACTCATTGGCCATTCAAGATAAATGGAGTTTCAGATGCAAATTCTTCAATATATATAAATGCAACATGCAACAATTTAATTGATTTTACTGAGTTACAGTTCATATGAAGAAATCAGTCAATTTAAATACATTCATTAGGCTCTAATCTATGGATTTCACATGACTGGGAATAAAGACATGTATCTGTTGGTCACAGATACTTTTAAAAAATGGGCCTCACAATGGGCCTCAGGATCTCGTCACAGTATTTTTGTGCATTCAAATTGCCATCGATAAAATGCAATTGTGTTTGTTGTTGGTAGCTTATGCCTGCCCATACCATAACCCCACTGCCACCATGGGGCACTCTGTTCACAACGTTGACATCGACAAACTGCTCGCCCACAAGACACCATACAAGTGGTCTGTGGTTATGAGGCCGGTTGGACGTACTGCCAAATGATCTAAAATGACTTTGGAGGAGGCTTATGGTAGAGAAAATAACATTAAATTCTCTGGCAACAGCTCTGGTGGACACTCCTGCAGTCAGCATACCAATTGCACGCTCCCTCAAAACTTTAAGACATCTGTGGCATTGTGTTGTGTGACAAAACTGCACATTTTAGAGTGGACTTTTATTGTCCCCATTACAAGGTGCACCTGTGTAATGATCATGCTGTTTAATCTGCTTCTTGACATGCCACACCTGTCAGATGGATGGATTATCTTGGCAAAGGAGAAATGCTCACTAACAGGGATGTCAGCAAATTTGTGCATATGGAAAATGTCTGGGGTCTTTTATTTCAGCTCACACTTTACATGTTGCTTTTATCTTTTTGTTCAGTGTAGATAGCCAATATCAACAGCAATGTTGCTGCTGCACGATTCTGAATTAAGTGATAATGCCAGAGAAGCCGGTATTTGGAGGATATATTGGCACTGGTGTTAGACCCCAGACGAAGTTTCAATATTGAAACAATGTTGCAAATGTCAGACAGACATTAAGGTTAATAAATGTATCCACTATTGAAAACCAATTGCTAGTCTAAAATAAATGGGAGATAATGTCTAGTTGGTTTTCACAGTGGAGATCAAGTTTATAAATTGTCTGGCTGGGCTGATGAGACAGTGGATTGCGCAGTGAGATGGAACATTGTAAACAGGAATTTCAACGTCATAGCTTTAGCTGGTGGTAACTTGTGCAACAGACACCGGCTGGAATGCGGTTTTAACCAATCAGCGTCCAGAATTAGACCCAACGGAAGAAACTACTAGGCTAACAACTGTAGCATGCTTAGACATCAAGCCAAATGGAATTACACTGAAATATGGTGAAGTACTTGGTAATAAACGGAGAACATTGCAAACAATTACATTTGTTTACATTACTACCTTGAATGAGCAGTCACGTCCAATCCGTAGGAAGGACGCCGCCATTGTTGTGCGCACAGAATTCTGTCAAAACGGAAACAAATTTGAAAAACAAATTTAGTTCCAGCCTATTAATTCAAAGAACGAAATTACCAAAATGTCACAGACCAAGACATTCTCAGTTTCAATGTGAAATATATGCTCGTTCTACTCAAAAAACAATACATATTGCTATTTAAATATCAAACTCAACCAAATCCTGCGATGTTCTGTTGCCCCAAACATTCCTTGCATAACAAAATTGCGCCCTGCTGAAACACCAGCCCCTTCAAATCGTCAAGGTTACTGCTGTAACATGAATGATACGTTCAATGTACAAACCTTTCAGGCACTGACTGAAGTGAACACTATCCATGAGACCCATATCATGAAAATAAATATATGGTGGCAAATTCCAAATGCATTTAAATATATTTTGTATGAATAAGTATTTACAATGTTTGTAAATTAAGGCTACAAACCAAACATACATCAAACTCCTTGGTCCAATTGAATTTTATTTTCAACATTTAAGACAATACACTTCTCATACATTGATAACAATACATTGTCATCAACATTATTATTCTACGGTAGTTGTTGTAATATATTACTTATACTCCTTTCAAATATTTCAACATATTCACATACTGTACTTTATCAATTAAGACTTTGCTCATTAAAAAGAATAGAGAGCATCACTGGTTTTAGAGTGAACATTAAAAGAGCACTACTGTGGGGTAACTGGGAAGGAGTAGGTGTAGAGGTACAGAGGTTGCACACTATAGGGAAATGACTAGTCATAATCTAAGTCCTCCAACTTGAAGAGATCCAGCACAAACCAAAGCACTCGAGAATAGTAACTTAAAGTTACACACACTCACTCCTAGACATACACATGATAAGGAACACACAGGCTCTGCAAAAGCTGTTCTCCTTGACCACTCTCACTAACACGGCAGTGGAATTTCACTAGTATTTGTAAATTATCTACATGGACACATAGCTGGTAACAACATACATTAAACTAACATTACACAAACTAACTAAGATCTCACCCCTCCACTGTGTTATGCTAATATTGTCAGATTTAACAGACTCTGAAGTCAGTCATCTCTGCTGCCTTCAGATATCCTTGTACATCTCCTTTCGAACGCAGAACCCAAGAGCCATCATAAAGAACGAAATAACAGATAAAAAACAATATGTACCTCTGAGTAGATTGCATATTGCAGCCACCAGGAGGCTGATATTTCCCTTTTGTCCGAATTTTTTCTTCCTTAACTTCTATAAATATGTAATACAGTGTTGTTCAACTGAACACAACACTCAAAATACTACTTCCTGTCATCTTGCAAAGGAAATAAATTAATTTGTGAGACCCAAATTGAATGAACCTGAAATACCTCCTCTTCACAAACAGTTACAGCATTGGCCGAATATGTCCAGCACAACAAAGCCTGACCTCAGTCTCCAAAACAAAACACCTACAAATGGCTTTCCAACACAAAAATATAGCACTCTATATTAAATGGTGCTCTTTTGCCGTACAAAAAAATGTAATTAAAAACAACTAAAATATACATACAAAACGTGAAGATATGAATGTGTTGAAAATAACATAATTTTTCGGAACAAGTACAAAAACATTCCTGACATCACTGATAGATTCTTCTAACCATCGAAAAACAAATGATTTGTAGTACATTGGTACTCATTATCTTGGCCTACGCTGCAAAAGTAACTATACATCGGCACTCATTTATCCATCATCATTTAGAAAACAGGAAATCTGCTCTTCAATTTCCCTCAAACCGTATTTCTGATCTAAAACAATACTCAATATGTGGAACAGATAAAGGACAGTATTAAGATCACTGATAGCTTCATTGTCATTCTCAGCATACTGTAGTATCCTAACAGTAACAACAGTTCTTTCCTTCACTAACACAATTTTCCAAAGTGTCTCACCAAACCTTTGAGGGTATATCTCAAAGTTTATCTCTCCTCCTCACATTCACGTACGTACTGTACCTTTGTCTCAAACAGACGCACACAGAAATGAATATATAACTCGAAACCTGGGTCACGTTTGAATTAAAGAAATACATGCTAAGATATTCCAGCTAACACAACCAGGGGTATTATTAGATAGGCTTTAGACAAGCTTTTGAAATTGTCCGACCTGCAATGACATAATAGCCGTATAGCTGTTTGTTTATAAACATGAACACAGTGTCAAAGGTTATATGGGAGGTTACCATCTGTTGTCACAGGGATGGCACAACAACAGTGTGGTCATCTGGGTGGTGTTCATTAGGCCACACAACGGAAGGTTTTAAAACGGAAAATGAAAATTAACGTTTCTTTTTGGACAAGGCAGTCTCGCCCGGTTTCAGTCTGTTTTCTTCCGCTTGTTGACTAATGAACACAACCCAGTTGTTAATGCCACAGGATGGGCTATTTAAGACTTACAGTGCATAAGCAATGATCATATGTGTTGTTCAAACATTTCTCTACATACAGTATATCATGTCTCAAAGGTTCATTGCGTTATAAGACGGCCTTCGAAATTTTAGATTAGCTGTGGAATGTTTCATAATTTTGTTCAACCAAATAATAGTGGAATCATGATATCATACATACACCATAATGATACAAATCATAAAGAGGAAAACAAAATACATCACTTATTAAGACCCTTGACAGCTTTTGCAGACATTAATTCACACAGTCACACATGCGCACGCCCGCAAACACACTGGAGTGTGGGGCTAGGCCGTTGGGGATTGTCACTAGAGCTTGGTGAGACTTCGGGCAGGGGTAACAGGGTTTGGGGGACAGTATGGGTGTTAGGCTGGGTTAGAGTGAGTTGAGCAGGGCTGGGTTGAACTGGGATGGGCTAGGGCTCCTCGAAGAGCTGCAGGTCCAGCCGTACGACAATCTCTCCTGTGGGCACCTCGTGGAGCAGCAGCCTCTTGGTGATTGGCCCTTTGGAGCCCTGGTCCTTCTTAATGTCCGCCAGACGGATCTCTGTCCTGCCTAGGAAATCTACACACAGTCAGACAGACAGAAGGATGATGAGTATACAAGTAAAGAGGGTTCAATACAAGGTTGTGTCACACCATATATTGTGATAGAATATATCGCATGACAGCACACCGAATCAAAAAGGCATCTTGTCAATAAAAGACTGTTTGTGTGTGTGTATGAGGTTGCGTGTGTGCACATAGTCTCACCGTAGCCTTTTTAAACAGAGTGTTATTCTGGTGTGTGTGTGTGTGTGTGTGTGTGTGTGTGTGTGTGCGCGCAGCCTCACCGTCAGGAGAGAACTGGTCCCTCTCAAACACGGTGACACACAGCACATCCTGCTCCAGGTCCTTGATGAAGAACTGACAGTTGGAGTTCCACTTGGGGTTGAGCGTGTCCTGCAGGGTCTTGGTGATGTGGCACTGGGAACCCATCGTCACCTCGCAGTACGGGTTGCTCTTACCTGAGAAGAGATCACAACTTAGGGCTGCAAAATTCCGCACACTTTCCCAAAATCCCCTGGTTTTAAAGAAATCCCGGTTGAAGAATTCCAAGATGGAGGATTCCCTGCAAGCTTATTCCCTCTGGATTCCTGGAATCCTCAAACTGGAATTTCTGGAAAAAACTTTTCGGAAAGTTACCAGGATTTTACAAACCAATAACAGATCGGCACAGTTGTATAGACGTTACCACAGAATAGACCAATATGGGTATTCCTCCACAAAACAGTATTTTAAATCCTCCACATACTTGTGCTCGATTGAGCTGGCCTGGTGAAATGGAACAGTCCCAAAAGTGCAAACCTCACCCATCTGGCACTGCAGGCAAGCTCAAAATACTATTTGAACCCCTGCATGTACTGTTAAAACTATCATTCTTCTCCTGTGTACTGAACAGCAATCGACATGTATTAAAGGATGGTGTGTGTCACTCTCTCGTGTCAGAGAGACACATATCAGTGTTGAGATGAACCTCAGGTCCGGGGGTGGCAGGAGGTCATCTCTAGGGACTTACCGTGGGAGCGGCAGGGCTTCAGCTCGATGCCCTCCACAATGTTTACCATCAGCCGGCCGATGCCCGTAGCCCTCTGTGAGCGAACTGCATCGAGGCAGACATAAACGTAATGGTCAGAGGCAGACATAAACGTAATGGTCAGGGACAAACACATGGCAAAGTCAGACAAGACAATGCCAGCATGAAAACACTCAGTTGTCATGAGAGATAGTTTGGTAACACTTTACATTAAGTTGCTCTTATTCCTGTGTACTAACACTGTACATACATTAGAAACCAAATTGTTGTTAGCTAGTTCCTTGCTTCTTAGTGAAATTAAGCCGTCTTTGTCAAAAGTGGAATAAGCAGTCACTATTCCTCATGTATAATTACAGAAATCGCTCAACTCCACAATTCCTACAATACTATGTAGCAACATTTTCATAAAATGTTACTAGCATAATTACAAGGTTACACCGATATAAGGGGGTAAGTTCAAGTAATAATACAAAGTACTTATATAGGGCTTTTCTGAAACCCAAAGAAGCTTAAAAAAAAACACTCATATAAAGTGTTACCAACAGTGCTTTTGAGACCCTGGTCCGGGAGGGTAGCTGACAAAGCAGTCCCTCCCAGACACAGTGGACCTATAGAGGAGCAGAGAGACAGGATGTTATACCCAGGTAGGCCTTCTCCCTCTTCTTCTTCTCTGTCTCGATGAAGAGCTCAGAAGCAGCCTTGATCTTCTGCACCCAAGCAGTCCTGCATGAGTCATCACAACAAGGTCAAAAGAAAGCCTTGGCTATGTGTACGTGTGTAAGAGAGAGAGAGTCCGTGTACGTGTCTGTGAGTGCATGCATACGTCTGTGTGTGTATATGTGTGTACCTCTCGTTGATGCTCTCTGCCCGTATGGTGTAGACCCTGTCGATGTGGGAGATGTGGAAGATGGGCTCGTCTCCCGAGGGGTCTGTTGGCAGCTTCACCAACACCTCGTTCAGGAAGATGGGCTGATTTGGGGTTTAAAGGTCAGAGGTCACAACGAGGTCAGAACTCCTGGGGTGTGTTGCAATAATATCTCGTCTCGTTCCTGAAGTTTGCACTCGTTTACTACTTCCCACAAATCTAAAAGCATGGGATTGGTGCAGGTTTGGCCTAAAGGGAGTTTCCACAATATTTCTTATACAGGTCTATTCCTTTCAAATCAGTAAAGGGAAGTGAACAAGTGTACAGGAAGGAGAGATAATTGGGTCTTGAACATGCCACACAAATGCAATTCTACTGTACGTGGGGATTTGTGCGGCATGTCCAAGACCAAGGCCACGTCCCAATTATCTCTCCTTCCTCCCAAAGTGGTCCTATGGGCCCTGGTCAAATGTACTGTATTCCCTATAGCAGTGGTTCTCAACTGGTTCTGCCTTGGGACCCAAATTGAACCAGGTTTTCTCAGTCGCATCGCCAAAATAAATAGCCAAAATACAATCTGGAAAACTATTTTGAATGCTTTATTGATAGGAAATGTAGCAATTAAATGACAAGGGAACAACATTCCCACCTCTTTCATTGTCAATAATACAATCTTGCCCATATTATATATATACAAAAATATTTTATTTTTACCCCCTTTTTCTCCCCAATTTCGTTATTACGATCTTGTCTCATCGCTGCAACTCCCAAACGAGCTCGGGAGAGGCGAATGTCGAGTCATGCGTCCTCCGAAACATGACCCGCCAAGCCGTGCTTCTTAACACCTGCTCACTAAACCCATAAGCCAGCTGCACCAATGTGTCGCAGGAAACACTGTTCAACTGACGACCGAAGTCAGCTTGCAGGCGCCCAGTACGCCACAAGGAGTCGCTAGAGCTCGATGAGCTAAGTAAAGCTCCCCCGGCCAAACCCTCCCCTAACCCGGACAACGCTGGGCCAAATGTACGCTGCCCTATGGGACTCCGCAACACTGCGATGCAGTGCCTTAGACCGCTGCGCCACTCGGGAAGCCCTTGCCCATATTCTTGATGAAGAATGTTAATAAACTCACTGGCTTGAGACTACAAAATCAACCAAAATAACATTGCTAATAGCTCTATATTGAAAATACTGTGATTGAAGAAAAATTGTTCATAGATCAAATTAAAAAATGTAAGTTCATTATCATTTCTACACACTTTCTACCTGGTTTTCTGTCATTTAAGTTCAGATTGGAGTATTCTTTCATAAAAAAAAAAAATGTATATATAAACAAAATCCCACAATCCAAATTTGGGTCACAACCCACCAGTTGAGAATCGCTGCTCTATAAGGTGCCATTTGGGACTCACCGTCTTGTACATGCGGTACTGCAGGTGGGACTTGGCACTGAACACCTTGTCACAGCCCGAGAAGCCCAGGGGCTTGATGATCTGAGTCAGAAGGAGGAAGTCGTTGAACAGGAAGCCATACAGCTCCTTGTTGCTCTTGGCCTTGTAGAGTTTGCCGCTGTGCAGGAACTTGCGCGGGCCCAGGCAGTTGGTCACTGAGTTGAACACGAGTTGCTAAAAGAAAGTCGTGAAAGAAAAAGGGCCAAGTAGGTGTGCTGGGAGTGAGTCTGTATTCACGATGTGGAAATGTGTCAATTGTGTGGGTATTTTTGTGGAATCAAGTACATGTTCCTGTGTTTTTCATTGTTTTATTTTACCTTTATTTAACCAGGCGAGTCAGTTAAGAAAAAAATCTTATTTTACAGTGACATTCTGATTTGTGTGTGTGTTTGTCCGTCTCTGTGTGTATGTGTGTATTACCTCAGAAAGCCCCTCACACTGGACGTGGGCCTGGATCCACTCCAGACGGTCAGAGTTCTCCTTCTCCCTGACGCCCTCGTTGACCTGGGAACACAGCTCCTCAGCCTTCTCCAGAGCCTGCTTCAGATGGCTATGGTCCGGGTGAGCCTCCGGAGTGTTCTCTAGGATCTGAGCCGCATCACACACAGTTACAGATAGTCAATTCCAGTGTGTATGTATCAGCTAAATGTTTTATATTTATTTATTATATTTAACCCTTATTTTACCAGGTAGGTTGACTGAGAATACATTCTCATCTACAGCAACAACCAGGGGCATAGTTACAGGGGAGAGGAGGGGGGATGAATGAGCCAATTGGAAGCTGGGTATGATTAGGTGGCCATGATGGTATGAGGGACAGATTGGGAATTTAGCCCTACTTTTACGATAAGTACCATAGGATCTTTAGTGACCACAGAGAGTCAGGACACCCGTTTAACGTCCCATCCGAAAGACGGCACCCTACAAAGGGAAATGTCCCCAATCACTGCCCTGGGGCATTGGGATATATATATTTTTTAGACCAGAGGAAAGAGTGCCTCCTACTGGCCCTCCAACACCACTTCCAACAGCATCTGGTCTAGCATCCAGGGACCAACCAGGACCAACCCTGCTTAACTTCAGAGGCTGTGGTCAGGCTTCTCAATCACATACACTTTTTTTCAGATGGTGGGAAGAGTGTGTGTGAGAAAATGTGTGTGTACATACATTTTTGATGATGAGGGGGTAGCGCGTCACCCTTTGCATGGGTTTGAGGAGGAAGCTGGAGAGGGGCATTCCCTTACAGCCTGGGTCCATGGCCAGTCTCTGTAGGGGAGAGGAAATATTATTACTATCAGATATCAGCATAGAACCTAACAACACTTATATATGAATATATATACATGAGTGCTATGGGTGCTATGAGTGCTATGGTGCTATCCTAGTGCTGTGGCTCGGCTACCCTCAAATAAGAAAGCGTACTGACGCTAGTATCTCAGTCTAGTCTTGCGGTGTCAGACATCACACAAAGAAACCAAGAGCGCCTGGGATCAAGGCTATTCACAGCCAACCAACCAACCAAGGTGCATGAACAAACAATGTGCACGAGACATTCAGCCTCTCTAGAGGCCAATAAAAGTTCAATACAAATAAGTCAAACACAGAGCTCTGGTCAAACGTTGTGCACTATATAGGGAATATGTTGTCATTTGGGACGGTGACGCAGACAACGCCTTCTTTACGGTCTTTCTCCATTACCTTGACAAAGTCCTTGAACTCAGGCACCTCGTCTGTCTTCTGCTGGATGAGCGTGGCCCCGTTGAGCTGGCAGCTGCAGAAGCGGATGTAGGGCTGCATGTGGGGCAGCTGGGCCGTCAGGATGTCTCCAATCATCTTCACCGGCATCCGCTCGCCCGACATCTTCTTCCTAACCCTCAGAGCCCTGGTGATGGGGGACAGGGGGAAGAGGAGAATGGGACGATTGGTGAGTCTGGTTATAGTTTTAACCATGTTCTGAAGCTGTACAGTGTTTGTTTACAATTACATTGATTACAATGGACTACAACAAGCTAATATTTTGGGTTCTGATGGAGTAAGACAGTTGAACCAAGCGCATGAGGAATTGTTAAGTTATATTCTTCAAGAATCAATGGCAATATCATTACTTTAAAAGTGTACAAATGGATGTACCAATCTCAGATTGCCCCTTTAAACCACGAGTCATGAAGACCCACAAGAAAATCAGCTGCTATCCACCATAAAGCTAGTTGAACTATAGTTATGACAACAGGACCAGAGGTGGCTAGGGGGCGTACTTGAGCAGCTTGATGTTACACATGATGAGCTCCTTCCAGTTGACGAAGATCATGGCCACCTCTTTCTCTGTCAGCAGCTCAGACTCCAGCAGAGGCTTCTGAAAGACCTGGCGAGGAAACGTTGAGGCAATGTTAACACAAACGTTCTGAAAACGTTTGCATGTAATGCAGATAGGTTAGAGTGAGTGTGTAAGCTTGGACTGCATGTGTGATCATGTTACCATGGAGTGAATGTATTTGAATGTGTATATGCATATATATGCATGTGTGATCATGTTACCATGGAGTGAATGTATTTGAATGTGTGTATGTATATATACACAGTATCTCACAAAAGTGAGTACACCCCTCACATTTTTGTAAATATTTGAGTATATCTTTTCATGTGACAACACTGAAGAAATGACACTTTGCTACAATGTAAAGTAGTGAGTGTACAGCTTGTATAACAGTGTACATTTGCTGTCCCCTCAAAATAACTCAACACACAGCCATTAATGTCTAAACCGCTGGCAACAAAAGTGAGATGGCCTGGGCTATAAGAAGACTGCCAAGACCCTGAAACTGAGCTGCAGCACGGTGGCCAAGACCATACAGTGGTTTAACAGGACAGGTTCCACTCAGAACAGGCCTCGCCATGGTCGACCAAAGAAGTTGAGTGCACGTGCTCAGCGTCATATCCAGAGGTTGTCTTTGGGAAATAGACATATGAGTGCTGCCAGCATTGCTGCAGAGGTTGAAGGGGTGGGGGGTCAGCCTGTCAGTGCTCAGACCATACGCCACACACTGCATCAAATTGGTCTGCATGGCTGTCATCCCAGAATGAAGCCTCTTCTAAAGATGATGCACAAGAAAGCCCGCAAACAGTTTGCTGAAGACAAGCAGACTAAGGACATGGATTACTGGAACCATGTCCTGTGGTCTGATGAGACCAAGATAAACTTATTTGGTTCAGATGGTGTCAAGCGTGTGTGGCGGCAACCAGGTGAGGAGTACAAAGACAAGTGTGTCTTGCCTACAGTCAAGCATGGTGGTGGGAGTGTCATGGGGAGCTACAGTTCATTGAGGGAACCATGAATGCCAACATGTACTGTGACATACTGAAGCAGAGCATGATCCCCTCCCTTCGGAGACTGGGCCGCAGGGCAGTATTTCAACATGATAACGACCCCAAACACACCTCCAAGACGACCACTGCCTTGCTAAAGAAGCTGAGGGTAAAGGTGATGGACTGGCCAAGCATGTCTCCAGACCTAACCCCTATTGAGCATCTGTGGGGCATCCTCAAAAGGTGGAGGAGTGCAAGGTCTCTAACATCCACCAGCTCCGTGATGTCGTCATCGAGGAGTGGAAGAGGACTCCAGTGCCAACCTGTGAAGCTCTGGTGAACTCCATGCCCAAGAGGGTTAAGGCAGTGCTGGAAAATGGTGGCCACACAAAATGTGTGTGTGTATATATATATATATATATATATATATATATATATATATATATATATATATATATATATATATATATATATATATATGTGTGTGTGTGTGTGTGTGTGTATATATATATATATATATATATATATATATATATATATATATATACACATACAGTGAGGGAAAAAAGTATTTGATCCCCTGCTGGTTTTGTACGTTTGCCCACTGACAAAGAAATGATCAGTCTATAATTTTAATGGTAGGTTTATTTGAACAGTGAGAGACAGAATAGCAACAAAAAAATCCAGAAAAACGCATGTCAAAAAGGTTATAAATTGAGTAAGTATTTGACCCCCTCTCAATCAGAAAGATTTCTGGCTCCCAGGTGTCTTTTATACAGGTAACGAGCTGAGATTAGGAGCACACTCTTAAAGGGAGTGCTCCTAATCTCAGTTTGTTACCTGTATAAAATACACCTGTCCACAGAAGCAATCAATCAGTCAGATTCCAAACTCTCCACCATGGCCAAGACCAAAGAGCTCTCCAAGGATGTCAGGGACAAGATTGTAGACCTACACAAGGCTGGAATGGGCTACAAGACCATCGCCAAGCAGCTTGGTGAGAAGGTGACAACAGTTGGTGCGATTATTCGCAAATGGAACACAAAAGAACTGTCAATCTCCCTCGGCCTGGGGCTCCATGCAAGATCTCACCTCGTGGAGTTGCAATGATCATGAGAACGGTGAGGAATCAGCCCAGAACTACACGGGAGGATCTTGTCAATGATCAAGGCAGCTGGGACCATAGTCACCAAGAAAACAATTGGTAACACACTACGCCGTGAAGGACTGAAATCCTGCCGTGCCTGCAAGGTCCCCCTGCTCAAGAAAGCACATATACATGCCCGTCTGAAGTTTGCCAATGAACATCTGAATGATTAAGAGGAGAACTGGGTGAAAGTGTTGTGGTCAGATGAGACCAAAATGGAGCTCTTTGGCATCAACTCAACTCGCCGTGTTTGTAGGAGGAGGAATGCCATCAAACATGGAGGTGGAAACATTATGCTTTGGGGGTGTTTTTCTGCTAAGGGGACAGGACAACTTCACCGCATCAAAGGGACGATGGACGGGGCCATGTACTGTCAAATCTTGGATGAGAACCTCCTTCCCTCAGCCAGGGCATTGAAAATGGGTCGTGGATGGGTATTCCAGCATGACAATGACCCAAAACACATGGCCAAGGCAACAAAGGAGTGGCTCAAGAAGAAGCACATTAAGGTCCTGGAGTGGCCTAGCCAGTCTCCAGACCTTAATCCCATAGAAAATCTGTGGAGGGAGCTGAAGGTTTGAGTTGCCAAACGTCAGCCTCGAAACCTTAATGACTTGGAGAAGATCTGCAAAGAGGAGTGGGACAAAATCCCTCCTGAGATGTGTGCAAACCTAGTGGCCAACTACAAGAAACGTCTGACCTCTGTGATTGCCAACAAGGGTTTTGCCACCAAGTACTAAGTCATGTTTTGCAGAGGAGTCAAATACCTATTTCCCTCATTAAAATGCAAATACATTTATAACATTTTTGACATGTGTTTTTCTGGATTTTTTTGTTGTTATTCTGTCTCTCACTGTTCAAATAAACCTACCATTAAAGTTATAGACTGATCATTTCTTTGTCAGTGGGCAAACGTACAAAATCAGCAGGGGATCAAATACTTTTTTCCCCCTCACTGTATGTGTATATAATATATAATATATAGGTGTAAATATATTATATATATATATGGGTATATATATATTATAGTATATATATCAGATATATTATCATGTGAAAAAAAGTATTTAGTCAGCCACCAATTGTGCAAGTTCTCCCACTTAAAAAGATGAGAGAGGCCTGTAATTTTCATCATAGGTACACGTCAACTATGACAGACAAATGGAGAAAAAGAAATCCAGAAAATCACATTGTAGGATTTTTTATGAATTTATTTGCAAATTATGGTGGAAAATAAGTATTTGGTCACCTACAAACAAGCAAGATTTCTGGCTCTCACAGACCTGTAACTTCTTCTTTAAGAGGCTCCTCTGTCCTCCACTCGTTACCTGTATTAATGGCACCTGTTTGAACTTGTTATCAGTATAAAAGACACCTGTCCACAACCTCAAACAGTCACACTCCAAACTCCACTATGGCCAAGACCAAAGAGCTGTCAAAGGACACCAGAAACAAAATTGTAGACCTGCACCAGGCTGGGAAGACTGAATCTGCAATAGGTAAGCAGCTTGGTTTGAATAAATCAACTGTGGGAGCAATTATTGGGAAATGGAAGACATACAAGACCACTGATAATCTCCCTCGATCTGGGGCTCCACGCAAGATCTCACCCCGTGGGGTCAAAATGATCACAAGAACGGTGAGCAAAACTCCCAGAACCACACGGGGGGGCCTAGTGAATGACCTGCAGAGAGCTGGGACCAAAGTAACAAAGCCTACCATCAGTAACACACTACGCCGCCAGGGACTCAAATCCTGCAGTGCCAGACGTGTCCCCCTGCTTAAGCCAGTACATGTCCAGGCCCGTCTGAAGTTTGCTAGAGTGCATTTGGATGATCCAGAAGAGGATTGGGAGAATGTCATATGGTCAGATGAAACCAAAATAGAAAAAAAACCTCAACTCGTCGTGTTTGGAGGACAAAGAATGTTGAGTTGCATCTAAAGAACACCATACCTACTGTGAAGCATGGGGGTGGAAACATCATGTTTTGGGGCTGTTTTTCTGCAAAGGGACCAGGACGACTGATCCGTGTAAAGGAAAGAATGAATGGGGTCATGTATCGTGAGATTTTGAGTGAAAACCTCCTTCCATCAGCAAGGGCATTGAAGATGAAACGTGGCTGGGTCTTTCAGCATGACAATGATCCCAAACACACCGCCCGGGTAACGAAGAAGTGGCTTTGTAATAAGCATTTCAAGGTCCTGGAGTGGCCTAGCCAGTCTCCAGATCTCAACCCCATAGAAAATCTTTGGAGGGAGTTGAAAGTCTGTGTTGCCCAGCGACAGCCCCAAAACATCACTGCTCTAGAGGAGATCTGCATGGAGGAATGGGCCAAAATACCAGCAACAGTGTGTGAAAACCTTGTGAAGACTTACAGAAAACATTTGACCTGTGTCATTGCCAACAAAGGGTATATAACAAAGTATTGAGAAACTTTTGTTATTGACCAAATACTTATTTTCCACCATAATTTGCAAATAAATTCATAAAAATTCCTACAATATGGTTTTCTGGATTTTTTTTCCTCATTTTTTCTGTCATAGTTGACGTGTACCTATGATGGAAATTACAGGCCTCTCTCATCTTTTTAAGTGGGAGAACTTGCACAATTGGTGGCTGACTAAATACTTTTTTTCCCCACTGTATATATATATTACTGGCTTAAGCAGGGGGACACGTCTGGCACTGCAGGATTTGAGTCCCTGGCGGCGTAGTGTGTTACTGATGGTAGGCTTTGTTACTTTGGTCCCAGCTCTCTGCAGGTCATTCACTAGGTCCCCCCGTGTGGTTCTGGGATTCTTGCTCACCGTTCTTGTGATCATTTTGACCCCACGGGGTGAGATCTTGCGTGGAGCCCCAGATCGAGGGAGATTATCAGTGGTCTTGTATGTCTTCCATTTCCTAATAATTGCTCCCACAGTTGATTTCTTCAAACCAAGCTGCTTACCTATTGCAGATTCAGTCTTCCCAGCCTGGTGCAGGTCTACAATTTTGTTTCTGGTGTCCTTTGACAGCTCTTTGGTCTTGGCCATAGTGGAGTTTGGAGTGTGACTGTTTGAGGTTGTGGACAGGTGTCTTTTATACTGATAACAAGTTCAAACAGGTGCCATTAATACAGGTAACGAGTGGAGGACAGAGGAGCCTCTTAAATAAGAAGTTACAGGTCTGTGAGAAATATAAATCTTGCTTGTTTGTAGGTGACCAAATACTTATTTTCCACCATAATTTGCAAATAAATTCATTAAAAATCCTACAATGTGATTTTCTGGATTTTTTTTCCTCAATTTGTCTGTCATAGTTGATGTGTACCTATGATGAAAATTACAGGCCTCTCTCATCTTTTTAAGTGGGAGAACTTGCACAATTGGTGGCTGACTAAATAAAAAAATTCCCCACTGTGTGTGTGTGTGTGTGTATATATATATATATATATATATATATATATATATATATATATATATATATATACACATAAATACATACTACCGGTCAAAAGTTTTAGACCACCTACTCATTCAAGGGTTTTTCTTTATTTTTTACTATTTTCTACATTTTAGAATAATAGTGAAGTCATCAAAATTATGAAATAACATATATGGAATCATGTAGTTACCAAAGAAGTGTTAAACAAATCAAAATATATTTTATATTTGAGATTCTTCAAATAGATACCCTTTGCCTTGATAACAGCTTTGCAGGTTCTTGGCATTCTCTCAACCAGCTTCACCTGGAATACTTTTCCAACAGTCTTGAAGGTGTTCCCACAAATACTGAGCACTTGTTGGCTGCTTTTCCTTCACTCTGCGGTCCGACTCATCCCAAACCATCTCAATTTGGTTGAGGTCGGGGGATTGTGGAGGCCAGGTCATCTGATGCAGCACTCCATCACCCTCCTTCTTGGTAAAATAGCCCTTACACAGCCTGGAGGTGTGTTGGGTCATTGTACTGTTGAAAAACAAATAGTCCCACTAAACCCAAACCAGATGGGATGACGAATCACTGCGGTAGCCATGCTGGTTAAGTGTGCCTTGAATTCTAAATAAATCACAGACAGTGTCACCAGCAAAGCACCCCCACACCATAACACCACCTCCTCCAAGCTTTACGGTGGGAACTACACATGCGGAGATCATCCGTTCACCAACACCGGGTCTCACAAAGACACGGCGGTTGGAACCAATAATCTAAAATATGCACTCCAGACCAAAGGACATATTTCCACCTGTCTAATGTCCATTGCTCGTGTTTCTTGGCCCAAGCAGGTCTCTTCGTCTTATTGGTGTCCTTTAGTAGTGGTTTCTTTGCAGCAATTCGACCATGAAGGCCTGATTCACACAGTCTTCTCTGAACACGAACTCTGTGAAGCATTTATTTGGGCTGCAATTTCTGAGGCTGGTAACTCTAATGAACTTATCCTCTGCAGTAGAGGTAACTCTGGGTCTTCAATTCCTGTGGCGGTCCTCATGAGAGCCAGTTTCATCATAGCGCTTGATGGGTTTTTCGACTGCACTTGAAGTTCTTGACATTTTCCGTATTGACTGACCTTCATGTCTTAAAGTAATGATGGACTGTCATTTCTCTATGCTTATTTGAGCTGTTCTTGCCATAATATGGACTTGGTCTTTTACCAAATAGGGTTATCTTCTGTATACCCCCCCTACTTTGTCACAACACAACTGATCGGCTCAAATGCCGGACAGAAATTCCACAAATTACCTTTTAAGAAGGCACAGCTGTTAATTGAAATGCATTCCAGGTGACTACCTCATGAAGCTGGTTGAGAGAATGCCAAGAGTGTGCAAAGTTGTCATCAAGGCAAAGGGAGGCAATTTGAAGAATCTCAAATATATTTAGATTTGTTTAACACTTTTTTGGTTACTACATGATTCCATGTGTTATTTTATAGTTTTGATGTCTTCACTATTATTCTACAATGTACAAATATAGAAAAACCCTTGAATGAGTAGGTGTTGTAAAACTTTTGACCGGTAGTGTATGTGTGGTTACCTCGGTGACGAGCTGCAGGTCGTTGACATAGTTCTCCTCGGTGACGATAAGCTCGTGCGTGTAGCCCTGTCTCTTCCTCTCAACGGGGGTCAGCATGTCCAGCAGGTGCAGGTCAGCGCACCCTGTGGAACAGGACAACAGCGTCGATCAGCTCCCCTCTGTCACTCAAATACCAACAGCCAATCAGAACACAACCTCAATGTCCCATCTCTCAAACAAACTTCCACACAAAGCTAATAGCTGGCCCTTTGGACTTTCCGTCTTGCGAGTTCTAGGCATGTAGACTGACACCTGAACAAGTCATAGAAATAAACAATATACACTACAAAATACTTCCCTGGAAATGTATTTAAAAAGTCATTTAGGTCAAACAATGGTGTAGGGTAAAAGGGTCTTCCCCTCAAAAGCCAGCCAAACATCATACATACAAAAAAAAAAAGTGTAGAGTATAATTCTTTAGACCCTTGTAATTTACATTATTTTTCCAGCGGTCTACAAAAGGAACGGACCAAAAAAAATGTCTTAAAGAAAACATGCTTTGAAAGAAAATAGCGGCTGGTCTCTTGCTCAAGTAAACAAACCTTTTGGTTTTTATCAGTAAATAAAAACACACAAGTCCACCGTTGCCATTGAGCTTTTTAATCATTATACATGTCATTTTCTATATTAAAGACGGCATGACACTTTTTATTAAAGCTGACTCATTTGTATACATTTTTCAATTTGTACATTCATTTCTGATAAAATGCTTCAGCAACCAAGTGCAACGATTACATTTTGGATTTGTTGTTGATTCATAACAAAACAGAAGCAATTCAGTTTATAGTCATAGAGTATTGTAAATACTGTATGAGTAGCTTGAATTTTTTTGTGCTTCTCAAACCCAAGTCAGTCAAGGAGTACAAACCTCCTTGAAACTGATGGGTCTCAAAAGACACATTGGAAAATCCAACAAACCAACCATAAAGCAGCAAACACCAATACTGTCACATAGTGGAACCAATAGGAACCAAACGGTTATATAAAAAAAGGCTGCATTCAGGAATTCCATCTTTGTGTTTTAGAATAACAATAAAATTACAATACTGTTGTGTGACAAATGCAAACAAGATTGATATGGTACCAGTACAATACTACTGTGTGTGTGTATATTGCTTTGAATGGATGATGCCATGCTTTTTCTTTTGTTTGAGAAGAATAATAGTTTAAGGCCATAGCTATATAGCCCTAGAACTTGGTATTCCACCCTGTTACATTGACTACAAAAAATACCAGTCTTAGTTTTTCTTAGTTTTCATATGTAAACATTGTTAAAAAGGTATTATCAAGAGGGTATTATTTTCATATTTAGTATGTTCGTATTCAGCTGAATCACATTAGTTCTTTTCAAATGGGATTTTCTTGACAAAATAACTGAGTAAAAGGTCAAACTAAATGGATATGTTGTTGCTTCAGATTTTTACAAATGACAACTGCATAAACTGGTAAAAACAACTTCAGGAGGGAAGGGAAAAAATTACAATACTACATAACCATATATATTTAAAACACTATGCATTATAATTGCATTCATTTATAAAAAATAGACTGTCATGGTATAGTGACCGGGGATAGTTGTCAAACTCAAGTAGCAATTAGACTTCAATTGACATACATCTAGGAGAAAACATGTAAACAAACTCAGGAAACGCATGAATACAAAACACCCCATCTACTCTGCCAATAATACATAGTTCTGAGGAGACAAGAATTTACTTGTTGAGGATATAACATCCTTACTTTGTGTGTGCCATTCATTCACACACTTCCAAGTCTGTGCATACTGTGTGTGTGTATGTCTGTGTACCTTCCCCTCTCCACTTGTGGCGGATGTGCAATATTTGGTTTGCATCAATCATCTCCCGTTTCACAAAATGCTACAGCACAAAGTAAACACCCCAGCACCTCCAAACAACAAGATTCATCCAAAGAATGTTTGGTATAAACATTTTTAAAAACACAGCTAGAACGTGATTGGATAAATGGAGAGGTTCTATCCCGCCCATAGAGTTGACAGACAGCTGCTCCGTCCACTGCATGAGCTGGCTTTGGGGCAGGGGTGGTCGATGTAAGTTACAGTAAATGTAATTATCTCTCTCTCCCTCCATCCTATAACGTGACCCTTGTGTGTTTCGGTGACCTTTGAACCCCTAGACTTGTCCATTGGACAGGTTGCTCATGATTAACCAATCCCAGGCCCAGTCGGACGACCAACCCGCCACCCATTCCCTTAACCCTCCGGTTTGTGCAGATCTGTAAGGTGTAAGCAATATGGTTACACCTATCCCGTTTCCTTCAGATCTGCAAACTGAAGGGTTATGGGCAAGGGGGAAGTGGCTTGGGGTTGTCTTTTGGGACAGGCCCCAGTTTTCCTTGGGGGCCAGTCTGATGCTGTGTGTCATGAATAGTGGGTCTTTCTGTGGAGCTGTGGGACGGATGGGGGAGGGGTTAGTAAGGGAGGGGAGGGAGAAGCTTAACATCAAATGGCAGCCATTTGACTAATTAGTAAAAAAAACAGTTCGACCAAATCCGTGGTGCCGTGATAAAAAAAAGCAGAATGACTAAATCTACAAAAAAGATACGAGTTCACAGAAAGCCACAAAAGGACCCACTATCCAGTCTCCCATTCATATGATCATTTCAAGTAGTTATTTTTTTCAATTTCCTAAAAAAAAAACATTAAAAATATTGATCAATAATAAATGTTTAATTTGTTTAAGTAAATTGCTTAAAGAATAAACGGTGTAGGACAAGGAAGCTGCTTAGCAATTTTGGCGAGTGCGTCTAACAGTTCGAATATAAGGAGGTAACGGCCAGCTCTCTGCAGCTTGACTCTTCTAGCCCACAAGGCCAGGTGGTAATCATGTGGCAGTCACATGATCGGGGTGGCTGCATCTCCCATCATCCCGCGGGGGCAGTGTTTAGGGGATAGTGGGTCTCTTTGAGGACTTTCAAGGCTGAGTGGGAATGGGCAACATATGAGTCCTAGAAAGAGGAGGAGAACACAGCACATAAGCAAAAAACGCAAACCAAAAAAGGAAACAAACCAACAAGACAACAACAACAAAAGAAAGAAAAATATGCAAACACACGAGCGTGGAGAACTAAATGGACGTCGGTGGAGGACGAGTTCACGAGACGACACACAGTGTGCAGCATAACAGATGAGGTGGAGTCTAACCATGGTATGCATGAGGGATGCGGAGGGGAGGGTGGGGGCGTCTACAGGACAATGAGGGAGATGTTAGTGTGGAGGGAGGAGGGACTGTACACACAGACACACTCACACCTCTATTCAACTGAGGATGATACATGATCTGAAAGGTCTTCAAAGAGGGGGCCCATTGGTATCAGTATGATCGGTTGCCTACAGATTATACCCTTGTCAAACACTGTCCCATTTGATTAGATTCCAGAGGTTTCCAGGGTTTTTAGTTTAAATGATACAAGAAGATCACGTCTATACAAAGCAGGAGTCCACATCGGTGTGTGAGTGTGTGTGTGTGAGAAGGGTACAGTATGTACTCAAACTGCTGGGTGTGACTGTAAGAGGGAGACTTTAGTAGTAGTGTGTGCACTCACATTGTTGGCTGGGGTCTGTGTCGGTGGTCAGTTTGACGTAGTTGGAGGGGAAGAGGCCCACGGAACCGTTCAGCTCGCCTTTCCACCAATCAGGGTCCTCCCTGCTCAGCACGTTGATGATCTGGCCCTTCCCAAAGGGCAGCTCGTCATCATTCTGCGCCATGTAGTCGTACATGCCAATCACCTGACACACTGCTGGAGACACACACATACAGATACAAGTGAAGGGTTAGTCAGACGGCCATACAATACGCCCACAAAAAAGGGACTAAAGGCGGTGTTCGAACAAATCCGTGATGCACTGTGGGCAAATTATTACTGACTGATTGTTCTAATAATGATTTAATATTAATGATGCAAACAAGGTGATTTGTAGATCAATCAGTCGGCAGTCACCGACAGCAATGCAGTCAATGTCGAACAAACCCCAAAACTCTTGTTTAGGATCTGAGAGGATTGGATGGGTATTATATAGGCTACTATGGAGGACATTCTATAGCTTATCAGAGGGCAAGGTAGAGCTACTACCAAATTAATGATACCTATCCAATCCCCTCAGATCTACACAGGTGACTAGGGGTGTAGGGGCTAGGAGTTACTCCTGGACAGGACCTTCAAATAGTACTATTACTATTAGGCCTACTCCACAACACAGACCTCTGTTACTAATAACATGACATAATGTTATTATAAAGAATGTTATTACAACATGAAAGAATGTTATTATGACAGGAAATAATGTTATCATCAAGGATGCTATTATAACATGAAAGTACACAGAGAATGTCTACACAAACACAGTGTTAGTACCCGTCATATGTTGAGTCACGGAGGGGCCCCAAGGCCCCGGCGGGCCCCCGTCAGTTCCCTGCTCCTGGCCCCTACCTGCACTGGGCATTGGCAACTTGGGGGGCATGGGCTCTGTGGGCGTGGTCTTACTGGTGCTGGGGCTCAGGAGTTTCACGTAGTTGGCTGGGAACCAGCCAATCTGCCGCTTCTTTCCCCGGGCCTGGATCGATGAGAGGACTTGTGAGTATGGAGGGGGCCACAGGGGCACAGCAAGATCATTTTAACAGTAAGAAGCATAACCCCTTTTACTAGTGTTTAAAGCAAATGTGTGGATGACAATGAATAATATATTGTAATTTCTACATCACCGTCTATGCAAAAATTACCATATCTTGTATATCATTATCATATTATATATTAAGACAATTATTGGCACATCTATGTCTACATATGAATACAACTAAGCATTTAAACATCTGCTATAAAATTTATATTAAGTGTTGGGTGGGGTGTGTTTGTGGTGAGTAGTGTTGCGAGAGACAGTCCTCCAACCTGCAGCTCCCCTTCCCACCAGCCCCCCGGGTTCTTCTTCCTGATGAGGATGAGCTGGCCGGGCGCCAGGGTGAGCTGCTCGGCACCCGTGGCCGTGTACGGGGCGATGACCTGGGCTATCTCGGGCTTCTTCCCCAGGCTTCCAGTCTTCCCTGCGGGTCCCAGTCCCTTGAGGGAAGACAGAGAGCTCTGGTTTTACTGGGAGCTAAGAGGTGTGTTAAACAAGGAATAAAGTTCGTGAAACGTTAGCTAACGTTGGCCAACTAACATATTTCATTTGTTTTATGTTTACTGTGAATGTTCGCTAATGTTAGGAGAGAGCTTTGCGAACGCGTATAAAGTATATTTTATATGTGTATGTATTATTGTCTGACTCAAATATTTGTAATTATTTTTAAAGGAGAGCACTTTGGTTTTACTGGAAGCGCCGATCAGACAAACAGGACTGCATCGCAGAGTTTACGAATCGCCACACAAAGATATGACAATGTGTGTGAGCGAGAATTGTTTTCTAGAAGTTACCTCCGAGTCCTTGGGTTTGACGTAGTTGGAAGGGAACACCCCCGTCTTGCCCGAGACCACGCCCGTCCACCAGTCGCCCTCCTTCTTGGTGACCACGATGACGTCGCCCTGCTGGAAGGTCAGGTCACCCTGCTCGTTGCTCTCGTAGGTGTACATGGCTATGTATTCTGGGAAACACAACATCTCTGAGCTACAGGGTCTGAGTAGAGTAACAGGAACATGCTATGTTCCATGATAAGCTATGGTGTAAATGTTCTGTTTTATATTGTATGTATGGTGTGGATCATAGTCTGAGAGCAAGAGTATTTTAAAGCTAAGATTCATGAAAGGTGAAACGGTGCCACTGGTTGGCCAAGGCGCATTTGTTCTTGTTTTTGTTTAGTTCAGTGTATCAAAAGGACATGAGCATCCAGCGTCATGGTAAAAAACAATCGTAGTACATTCTCAGCTGTTCTATCGCACGTGCAATGAAATGCAATGATGTCCGAGAAAAACAACAGTGTTCATTGTTTGAAATAATTGATTTGTTGTTGTAATATTGCAAACTGACGTGGCAGTTTCACCGCAAGGGATTCCAACTGTATACTGGGCTGTGCGTGTGTGTGTCTAGGTCCATCACCCACCTTCTCCTGGGTCCATGGCCTTGGTAGGGGACGGGGTGGGTCTCTTCATGGTGGGGGGGCTGTCGGACGAGCCAGACTCAATGCTGCACCAGAGAGGGCACACATTCACTCAGACAGCCAAGCCGGTGGCTAATATAAAAATACACACTAGATGGGGAGGGACTAAAGCCATACACAACAGAGAACTTGGCCATTGTGGTGCAATAAAAAAAGCATAATGATGTCACATCATTCTATGGCAGCCATGTTGCTCCCTCCTAGACAATATCAAGCAATAGTAGTTGGGATTTACTCTAAAGTTGACTGAAGTCTATAGTCCAGGGCCGTCCAACCCTCTTCCTGGAGATCTACCGTCTTGTATTCCAACCCTAATTTAACACACCTGATTCTACTTAGTTGCTCAACAAGACCTTAACTAGCTGAATCAGGTATGCTAGTTTAGGGTTGGACTGAAAACCTACAGGACGGTGGATCTCCAGGAAGGTGGTTGGGCAGCCCTGCTGTATATATCCTGCTGACCAGGTCACCCTCGCAAAATAGGTTTTTAACCTCAAGTGTCTTTCCTGGTTGATAAGAGTTGAATAAAAATACATGACTATAAATAATTGTTTGGATTAATAATAATACTCCAATTATAGTTCTATAAAAAAATATTATTCATAAATGTGATTATGGGCAGGGACAGTTTCATCCTTATTCACCTCATGGACTTGCGTACGGGGCCAGAGATGAGCTTGACGTAGGACTTTGGGAACCAGCCCCGCTGGCCCTGCACCTCTCCGAACCACCACATGTCCTGCTGCTCCAGCACTGTGATCACGTCGCTCTTGTTGAAGTTGAGGTGGTTGTCCTTCTTGGCCCGCCACGGGTACAGAGCCTGGGCCTGCAAACCCTCCACCTTCTCCCCCTGAGGGAGCAAAACAGAGACAGCCAGAAAGAAATGGGGAGTGGGAGAGTGGGAGAAAGAGAGAAGGACAGAGGAAGAGAAGGAAGAGATGTATTACAGAATCTCTATGTGCAGTTTAAACCCTGCTCTTCATTCATCTGACAGTACAACCACACTGCTTTAGGTAGAGTCAATATAATTATCCTGCTAGGCCTAGATGATATGTTCCTGTGCTCCTCAGTGTGGTCTAAACTGAGTGTTACAATCAAATGTATTATTATTAGGGCTGTCAAAAATAGCGCGTTAACGACGTTAATTAGTTGTTTGCTGTTAATTACGTCAATTTTTTTTAACGCATTTCACGCATGCGCAGTGTGACAAATTATTCAGGTCAGGAAAGTGGTTGGGAGCTAGAGGCGAGATGGAGCAAGGTGAGCAAAGTGGGCCTATTGACGGATTCAAATATAAAAAGAATGATGATGGTACAGTTAACAAGTACAAGGTTATTTGCAAGATTTGTAAGAAGGAGTTTCAATTTCACCGGAGCTGTTCAAGCTTGAAGTACCATGTCAACGCCAAACATGCGTTTGCTGGGCCGTCAGATTCTGTCATCGCAGCCCTGGACAATCAGGAGCACAAACTCGTTTTGCCGACCGCAGCAGAGTGGGATAAACTGCAGAGGCTGGAGACACTTCTAGAGCCATGCAGGTAAATCAGTCTGTAACTTATCAAATAACATCGCTTTGATTATTTTCTGGAATGAATTAAACCAAGTCAAATATCAATAACATGTATCTATGTAAAAAATAATGATGATGATGATAATAATAATAATAATAATAATAATAATAATAATATGTTGATAACCACTGTTCTAATAATACACTGTCTCTGTGTGCATGTGTGTGTTTGTGTGCGTAGGTATGTAACTGAGCTCCTGGGTGGAGAGGCCTATGTCTCCTGTTCTGTGGTACTACCTTCTCTCTGCCACTTGCGTCTCAAGATGGAAGCCTGTGATGAGGACCCTGCATATGTGGTGAGATTCAAGACCAAGTTCAAGGAGGACCTAGCATCCCGTCAAGAACAGCTCAACAATGCATGGCTCCAGATTGCTACAGTTTTGGATCCTCGTTTCAAAGACTTGAAATGCCTGCCCAAGACAGACAGGGAAGAGGTGTGGACCACACTTGAAGGGATGCTGCAACAAGAATCACCCAGAAGGTCTTCACAGACACATGATGATGGGCCACCCAGGAAGAAAATCAGCCTTCTGCAAATGGGCTCAGATTCAGAATCAGAAGATGAAGAGGTCCAACCTGCCATACAGAGGTACAGAGCAGAGCCCACCATTAAATTGGAGGACTGCCCCTTGAGGTGGTGGGCATCTCATTCAGGAGCCCATGAGAAGCTGGCCTCACTAGCTCACAAATATCTAGCCACTCCTGCAACCACTGTTCCCTGTGAACGACTTTTCTCAGTTGCAGGTCACATTGTGAACAAGAAAAGGTCAGCTTTACTTTCAGAAAATGTGAACAAGTTAGTTTGCCTCAGCAACTGGCTGAAAGATGATGAAGCTCAGTAGATTTGAAAGGTGATGTTCAAACAAAAAGACCAGTTTCAGTGCAACATGTTATAGTAGTTAGCAACTGGATTTTTGAGCAACTGGATTAAAGAATGGAGGAAAAGGTAAAAGATTGTTCTTTGGTTTGATTTAAAAGTTTTATTGAAAATGTTTTTTTCCACAGATGACTCAAATTGTGCAAAAATGTGGTAGGTCACTGTTATGATTTGACTACATTTATTGCTTTCTGTTCAATTGAATACTGTAAATTGTACATCCTGGTTAAGAGGAATGCCAAAGAGGAAGTGATGGAACATTACAAAGACAAATATTATGGTGTGTAGTATGTTTCAGCTTGATTTAAAACACCATTATTTGGCTGTGTTAATAAACAGACATAATATGAAAATTATGTATCTGTGTCCTGTTATTTATCTTTTGGTATGCATTTCAGAAAAAAAATGGTTAGGATTCAGGTGTAATTGCAAATAGTGATTAATCATGATTAATCCACTGAAAATTCTGATTAATTTGATTAAAAATTTTAATCATTTGACAGCCCTAATTATTATTACTATTATTTGACTGATGTGTACGTTGTATTTAATGTGCATTTTTGTATGTTGCAGGGCTCATTTGTAAAAGAGACCTGGGTCTCAACGCGACTCCCTGTTTAAATAAAGGGTAAAAAAAAAAAATAAAAACTGTACCTGTCCCAGGACGGGGGATGGAGAGGAGCCACTGAGGGTGGCGGGGGTGAAGGCAGAGCGCTGGCGCAGCTGGCCCCCGGGCCCGGCGCTGGGCACAGAGAGAGACGGCTGGGTGGGCCAAGCGTCCCAGCCCTCCCCAGTCTCAGTCTTCTCCACAGAGCTGGTGGACGGCCATCTAAGCAGAGAGAGGCACACACAGTTTACAAACTCAAACTCTGATTTCTCTTCAATGAATAACTTGGTGTATGTAAGACTATGAATGAAAAACTCTTGCATTGCATTGTATTAAATTGCATTATATTGTATTGAGTGCTGTGTGACAGGAAGGGTTGGAGCTGTCACTCACGTGGTGCTGAAATCTGCCCAGTTACTAGATGCCGAGGAGGAGGACGAGGCGGGACCAGGGCCAGGGCAGGGACCGGGGGCAGGGGGAGCGGTCGCCGGGGGAGGGGTTGCCATTGGCTGGCTGGGTGGCGTGGGTGTGGTGGAGGCGGCAGTGGGTGTGAGTCGTGAGGCCAGTTTGGGCGCGACGCCCGTGGTGGCGGCACTGACCCGCAGGCTCATGGGAACCTCGGATTCTGGGATCTTCTCGGCGTAGTTGGCGGGGAACCAGCCCGTCTTCCCTTTCAGCTCGCCACCCAGCCAGCCTGGCTCGCCTGTCTGGGACTCGTCCACCTGGGGGTTGAAGGTCAAAGGTCAGCTCACCATCATAGCACTACAGAGCCACCGAAGACTGTAGAAATTACTAAAATGAATAGAACGGACATTCTCCTTCAAGTCATGCTGTGAGGAGTGGACCAGGTGGGCCATATTGAGTGTACCTTCTAGTAATTATATTTCTATGCCAAGAACAACTCACAACCCCAGTCCTCAGGGATCACACTTTCCATTGGACCTTTTCCTTTAACCAGCTACAGGCTGTTCTGAAAAGCTTTGTTGAAAAGCAATGAGGAAATTCCTGAATTGACTGAGTAGAAATTGAATGGACCCCAACTCTGACTGACAGACAAGGCGAGTAGTCTGGACCAAGATACTGTCGAGCCAATACAGGATTAGATTGATAAATCGTGGGGAAACAAAATAAATTACGAGCGGTTACAGTAAATCCTGTGGACTGGGGTTGCCCAGCCATGCGTGGTTACTCCTTATTTAAAACATACGACAGAGTGGTTGGACCACTTTTGGAATGGATGTTCGCGATTCACAAGACAAGTTGTATATCACCGCTCCCTTTCCAAGCATGCGGGTGGTCATGAAGAGAAGCTGAGAGAATAAGCATGGCAGTGGATGGCTTTGGGACGGCTGCGTTGAAGGAGGACTTGGTGCAATAGGATCAAATGTGTCTGTATAGTCGTTTCACTCTCTGCAGCTTACAAGATGCTTTATCCAGTATAAACATAGAGGCACGCTTGTATAGACTTATAATCATATGCCCTTTGAGAACAAGTGTGTATCCTCTGAGTACACTGACCACATAATGGATATACAACCACAAACATGCAACCAACGGTTAAACTCTTTAAGTGCTTATGAAGAGATGACAGCAGATGAGATGGACACATGAGACGGACCAATGAGAGCAGGTGTTGGGATCACAGGTGAGCAGCTGATTGGACAGTGGGCCTGCACTTACCCACTCCCCTTTCACCTTCAGGTAGAGTGAGCAAAGTTGGGAGAGAGTCAGGAGGCAAAGGTTAATACTCACACGCACACATGCACGCAGACACACACACACACACTCAACCACACTCAACCACACTCAACCACACTCAACCACACTCAACCACACTCAACCACACTCAACCACACTCAACCACACTCAACCACACTCAACCACACTCACACTCCTTGGTTCATATAGATGAATCACTTTACATAAACATCCATACCATACACACACAAATGGTGCGTGGCAGAAGTGATTGACAGCTAGCCTCTCACCATGACAATGTCTCCGGGGGTGATGGTGATCTCGTCGTGACTGCGGGCATCAAAGGGGTACAGCGCCCGGTAGAAGACCACCTTGACCTTGTCCTGGTTGAACCCAGTCACCGGGATCTTGTCTGCAGGGGGGAGAGGAAGGGGGAGAGGAACACAGGACAGGGTCACATCTTTCTCTCTCACACATGGAACCAGGCAAGTCCAAACGTTCTTAGAACTTCTACAGTAGGACCTCTGCGATATGAAAACGTTTGGAATGGAGGTAATTCGGAACACTGAAATACTTGTGACATTGAAATCTACTTAAAAACTTCATAGAAAATATTAATTGTGTGAAATGAATCTACATGCATGTTCTAATCATTTAGACAGATACCTACAGTACACATTTTTGTTCTATGGTTTAACTGTCCCAGTTCGATGTTGCCCCTGGTCAGTCCAGAAATCTGAGGTTTTAAAACTCTGAGGTTCTACTGTATATGCATGCTTCTTTGTAATACATGTTCTTTTTTGACACGTACCGCCCGTGGGCCAAGGGCTCTGGTTCATGAGTTTCCCTGGTTCAGGCTGCTGCATGAAAAGCTGGTTGAGTTTGTCCTGCATGTCCTTCTTAGCGCACCCCTCCTCCTCGCTCACGCGCTTCATCCAGGGCTGGGGGGGCGGGGTGGGGGCCTCCACCATACCCTCATCTCGCCACGCCAGGCCCTCGTCAGTGGCAGACAACCTGGGGAGAGGAAAGGGGGTGTTAGAGGTAACCTCTGTAAACTGACTGGATCACAGTGATGGGGCTGCATCCGTGTGACCCATACAGAATGAGAGGACATAGGAGCAGCTCGCTCACACATATGGTATCCTGTGCGCAAACACACACATTCACACAATATCTCTCAAAGACAGAAACCCACACACACACACACACACACACACACACACACACACACCTTCCGTCTGTGAGCTCGGCGGACTTGGCCCTCTCCTGAGCGATGGCGTGGATGTTGATTTCTCCCTCCAGGTGATCCTTCTGCTTCTGTCTCTGCTGCTTGCTGTGGATCTCTCGGAGCTCCTGCAAGGCAGCGTGGGATAGAGGAGGACCGGTGAGGGGAAGTTTGGGCGGGGTCGCCGGGACTCAACACAACACTCACATCACAGTGAGGCGTCAGCCATTTTGTGCCCTGTAAGCGCCATTATGATCCCAGCCGGGCTCAGTTACCAGAGGGAAAGTCTGTGTTTAGGCTATTGCTTCCCTCCATTTAATCTAATCTCTGTGTTTTCTCCAATTAATGCTGGGACACTACTACTACTACTACTGAAATGTAGGTTTGGTTGGATATTTGGGGCGGACGCACTTGCACAAAACATGGCCGCCGCCACAGTGCGTTCATGGGGGTTGGACAGCTCTCGGAGTCTGGCGGGCGCTGCACATGAACCACTGAGGGAGGGTTAAACAAGCCCTGGGTTACTACGGCAACACGGACACCACTGGAACTGGAAGCTTGCAGTGTTTCATTGCTCCGGGGTGAAGTTTTCCTTAGGTACAGATCTAGGATCAGCTTAATCTCCCCCAATCCTAACCTTAACCTTGCGGGGGAAATGCAAAACTGACCTAAGATCAGTGTCTAGGGGCAACTTCGTTCTGCTCCGGTTTGAGCACCAAATGGAAACACTACTGGTTAAAGCCAAGTGGTACCAACCAATCACAGAGAGCGTTCATGGTTCTGGGAGACATCTGAGCCAAACTATGGTTCTCAAAAGCACACAGACTGATATGGAGTTCGGTAAAAAGAGTTGAATGGGAAATTCACAAGGATCATAGGTAGGTGTTATTCAAACCCATCCTCTCTAAAGGGTTAAGAAAGTCTTAATATACAGTCTGAGCAGGAAATAAAGTTGTGAGGACTTGATTTTCCTGAAGGAATTACTATCAATACCATTAATCAGTCTTAGATTAGATGAAAATGCAATTTAAATGATATCTTAATTGACCAGAGAAATAATCGAATGTCCATATCTGATACGAGGGATAGATATCCAACAAATATCCAGATCACATATTAAGGCCAAACGAGCTTGAAAACTTTTGGTCCTGACCACTACTATGGCCCATTTGGACACAGTGACTGCTGGGTAATGTAATCCGGCCTTAGAGAGCACACCGCACACACACCACAGCCCCCAGGTTAACTAGGCTCATAGGTTAAGATTGTGATGAACCATGCGTTGTCAAACACCATGCAACCAAAGGCTTCACCCCCATATGTTAAGTTGGCGTGCCATCAACACATGGGGCTGGAGAGTGAGGTACCTTCAGGAAAGCTAGATTTGTTTAGTACTTGGTTAAAATGGTGAGACGCACGACTGACTGAGCAACTGTGAAGATTTCTTGAAATAATCTCACAATAACAATAACTTGAGGACCAGTTTCATATTGCCTCAATCTATTGATAAATGACATTACCTTGTTCATTACCTTGTTCTATATTTCTTTCCTGTACCAAGTCTTCAATTAGCCTATGTCTGTATGGATTTGGTCTCCCAAAATAGTAGGCCCTACACCCCAGTTCACTATTAAATAAATACATCACTAACGCTAGTGGCCACTCACCCAGTAGAAGGACTGTACAGCCGCAACGCGTCGTTCGAGTGCGCCGTTTTTAATCTTGTCCTCCTGCCATGTAATTAAACAAAGGCATTTCATTTCTTTCCAATAAGACAGAGTGCCTTAGGAGTCTTTTGGGAAGTGTTTTTGTGCTTTCTACAGATGTTTACCAATGCAACAAAAGCGTGTCTTCCAGTTTGTTTGGATACCAAAGAGGGTAAATGTTCTCCTCTCACCGTAACCAAAACTACGAAGCCTGACAACTGAAAGCTCAAGGAGCTGAAAAATATAAAATTGTCATCGATTCAATTTAATAAATGAAATAGCTGAACAACCAGGTTCATGCACAGGGTGGCTAACAACATTGACCGGAGCGGTGTCCCAGTATACACTTGCATACTACCTAGTGTGACCCAATTGACTTTGGTCTTGGCAATGCATTCTAAATAGTATGCTAGTGTTTTTATTGGGCCCTAGTCTAGAGGGTTTAGGAGGCAATGAGAGAGATATACTCCAGCACCACCCAGAAGATAGATAAAGGAGGGAAGCGGCTAGCTTTTATTAACTCGCTGCAGGGCTAACGAAGCTAAGGCTAAAGACGCTCAAGCGGAAGGGCAGCATGGCTTGCTTTGACCAGCCCTTCAAAGGAAGTGGAGGACTGGTAAGGGGGTTGGGGTTGGGGTGGGGGAGCGCAGGGGGAAGGGCGTGGAGGAAGAGGAGGAGGAAGAGGAGGGGGAGGCAGTAGGGACACCTGCAGGTAGACGTCTATACGCTGCAAACAGGCCAGGAGGGCCGAGAGACAGTCCAGCAGCATCTGGTCCACCGAGCCCCCCTCGGACTGAAAAGAGACAGACAGGGACCCCAAGGTCAAGGGTCAGATAGAACAGCAGCAGTGCCACCGAGGTCAACAACAGGGTCGTGTTCATTAGGCACCAAACAGAAAGAAACAGACTAAAAAGGGAGGGTGGGACTACCTGCGCAATAAGAAAAACACATTTTGGTTTTCCATTGCGTTGGCCTAATGAACACGACCCAGGTATACATCCAGATCGGACTCAACCCCTACCCTGACCTGGTGCCTTGAGTTAGGTGGCCCAACAGTCCCATGTGGCTGTGTCCGACGTCAAACCATAGCAACCCACATACAGCTTAACCATATATTGATTCCCCAGGTTGAGCCCCCAGGATGTTGTGGGGTAGAGGGCCACACTGCTCGGAAGCAGCACAGCCTACCACAGGCACGGGGTGAGTCTAATATACCCATCACAATACCAAGCTCTGCTGAGCAGACCCTAACAGAACTGTACTGCTCTAGGCCTGGTTAAGCATCCACCACAGTTGCTGGAACCGTGCTTTGAAAGGACAATGTGAAATATATCAAGCCAACCCAGTACAGTTCCGGTTGGCCCTGTAGCGTAACAAGGGTCTAACCTTCTTCATCAGTTAGTAAGGTAGCTTCCTTCTTTAGCATTGGGTTTCAGATCTGCTTAGTAACAACAACACACCGAGTTATTCTGATTGGTTATTATTCTCCAGAGGTGCACTACTCTAGAGCGTCCTGCGGGGGGCAGCAGTGCTGGTGAGTGGACTACCTGTCGCCCCCTCTGCTCCTCCAGCAGCAGCTCCAGACGGAGGCCCTCTATCCGGGCAGTGTGGCCCTGATAGAAAGCAGCCAGAGACTGGACGGACAGGCGAGGGCGTGGGCAGAGGCGGGACGCAGAGGTCAGAGGGCACGGGGCGAAGGTCAGCCAAGCCACACAGACCAGACAGGGGTGGCAGGGTGGATGGCGGGCAGGGGCGACAGAGTGAGCAACAGTCAGATATAGTGAGAGAACCACAGTGTAAACACCCCCACGTTTTCCCCTAGGTACAGATCTAGGATCAGCTCCCCTTCCCACAATGCAAAACTGACCCAAGATCAGTGTCTAGGAGCAATTTCACCCTACTCCACTACAGTGCACTCCGCATGTAGTGATCACATTCACACAATTTGATCGCTATAACGTTTCTATGATCGCATTCACTATAAGCGGCATGCACTGTTCTGTATATCTGAAACACTGGGACCCTGATGTGGTATGTGGAGCAATTCAAAAGGTTTTGGTTGAAAAGATAAAGGAATTGAGATCACATTGAAATTAAAAAGGGGGATCATCAGACACACACAAATCATCAAGCTCTCTGACAGTCTTGGCGCCCCAACACACACACACGACATTAAGAGATGCAAAGGTATCGGTGGGCAGAAAGAAAGTACTGGAAGCCAGTGTTTTAAATTGTCCACTGTCAACTGTTAAACTGAGCATATGGGGCAAATCCAAACTTCCACTTATTAAGTCACATTTTCATTTAGTCTCTTATTGAAATCAATGCATGGTGAAAATTCACCCCTATGAGAAGAACTGTAGCCTGTTGTTGGTCACTTCGAACTCTTCACTAGGTACAGGAGATAGGGACAGGGCTCTCCAACTCTGTTCCTGGAGAGATACCGTCCCATAGGTTTTAACTCCAACCCTAATCTAGCGCACCTGTTTCTAATAATTAGCTGGTTGATAAGCTGAATCAGGCTAGTTACAACTGGGGTTGGAGCGAAAACCTACAAGACTGTAGCTCTCCAGGAACATGGTTGGAGAGCCCAGGGCCCGGTTTCCCGATTGAACTTAAGCTTACAAGTATTTTAACGAGGCATCGTTCCTATAAACACCACATAGAGAATGTTCATAAGTGCGTCGTCGGAGCATGTGTCGATACTGATAGGATCGAAAGAAAGTCGGCGCAGCTCTCGGATCAGCTTTCTCCATTCAAATTTTACTTTAGCATTAGAATTATTACACAATACTGACAACAGATCAACTCCTAGAGAGATTTTAAAACCTACTTGGCTGCAAATATTGAGGCGGTTTATTCTAATGCCAACCCTATAAAAACGCACTAAATCACAGATTTGGCATATCATTGCACACGTTACACAGCATGAAATATATTGAGACAAAAATTACAGACAGAAGCCTTGCAAAATAGAACTCATTGATTGAACTAGCCTATGATTGAAATATAGGCTATAGGCCTATGTAGCCTATACTGTATCTTCTTTTAATGCACTCATCTCTGTTCATTTGAAGCATTTTTATCCTTTGCTTGTTTGTAACAATTGCAAAAACATAGACAACTTTCAATTTGTAGTCAACTTCCTTCTGAAGTTAGCTGTGTCACAGAGAGACAGATCAACATCTTGATTCTATGTGTACTGGAGACATTCTGTGTATAAAGTGACGCAGAAGGGTAAAAAAAGCATCCAACGACGCACTGTGCTGTTCTATGAGTGGTCTGGGGCAGTCGGTAAATAACAAGCATTTTCAAGTGAAACTTTACTAATGATGGTTTTGGGAAACAGCTCAGAGATTTAACGATGCTCCTACGAAGGTTCTAACGATGAACTTAGCCTTAAAAACCAGGCTCTGGTCTTTAACCTAGTCAGATGAATCGTTAGTGAGTAGTAGTACCTTGAGCTGGGTGTTGAAGGCGTCTATCTCCAGCAGTTTGGAGCGGGTCTCTCTCTCCACAGTGTCTAGCTGTTCTCTCAGCTGCTGCCGACTAGACTCCTTGACCTCCACCGCCTTCTGCAGCGACGCCAGGGAGTCTCCTGGACAGGGACGGGGTTGTATTTATTAGTGCCCAGCATAGCAATCTTTTCGTTTTGAGCCTAGTGAATATGACCCAGAGAGCAAGCGCCGTATCGGTTATTATAAACCGGGTGGTTCGAGCCATGAATGCTGATTGGCTGAAAGCCGTGGTATATCAGACCATATACCACGGGTATGAACATTTTTTATTTGTACTGTTCTAATTACTTTGGTAACCAGTTTATAACAGCAATAAGGCACCTAGGGCGTTTGTGGTATACGGCCAATATACCACGGCTAATGGCTGTATCCAGGTACTACGCACTGCGTCATGCGTAAGAATGTAGCGGTGGTATATTGGTCATATACCACACCTCCTCTGGCCTTATTGCTTAAGTATAGTACGGCAGTCAGTCTTTCCCTTAGTTTTGTTTGCAGGTGGTGTACAAAGGCCTCTCAGGCAACAGATTGTCAATTAAAACTAATAGGCCAGATTATTTTATGTGGCGCTAGGTGGGGGGCACTTCCACACCTATACTACAGTAGGGGAAACACTATAGTACAGGTTATAAATCAGTCCAATGTGGCCTACCCATGTACAGTATGATAGCATAGCTAGGACTAGCTAGCAATCAAGCTAAAGCTAACTACTCATTTATGACAAGTACATGGGGGAATAAAACAGTGCATTTATAGGGGAATTATTGTATCGACTTAGCAGAGAATTCACAAGCCATCTATAATAGCAAAGCATATAGTACATGGTCTGAGTCCCAAATGGCACCCTATTCCCTATATAGTGCACTACTTTTGATCAGGGATCTGGGCGACGCGCTCTGTTGAAAGATGTGCGGAGGTGAGATGAGGAAGCAGTACTTACTGTGCAGGCTGTTCTGTTGGACCTGTTTGAGTTGTTCGTTTAGACACTGTTTGTCAGGGATCAGCCTGCCGAGCCACTGCTGAGAGTCCTGCGGGAGACACACAGCAACGGCAAGTCTTAGGGAAACTGCATCTGTACTAGGGGTGTGAACTTCGGATCCCTAACTGTTTTTTTGTTTCCCCCCCCCCCCCCCCCCACTTAATTAAAATCACAGTGCAGTTATCACAAAACATACTATTTTCTGTGTTATAGCGATAGGCTATAAAGGCATGGGAAAGTTTAGTAATTCAAATAAAAGCAGAGAGGAAGAGGCAAACTTTAGGCTACTTTGGTGAATTTGCAAGGCAAGACATTGTGAGATGCAGATTACCAAAACATATGAGCACGTTTCTGCCTGCCCCTCCTCACCCTCCCTGTGATGAGGTGGTGATGAAGGAGTCAGGCGCAGGAGGGTAAATCACAGAATAACAGGCTTTAATCCGCAAAATACAGGTTTACGCAGAAATGCGTCAAACACACTCCAGGGCACAAAACAGGCGCACTGGAAAATACAAGGCATACGGGAAAAATACTCCCGTCGATACACAATATACAAGCTCCACTAACCTCCACAAATAAACAATCACCCACAAGGACAATGGGGGCAGAGGGAACACTTATACACTGACTAATTAGGGGAATAGAACCAGGTGTGTGTGATTGACAAGACAATCGTGATGATGATTGGGGTGGCAGTGGTTAGTACTCCGGTGACGACGAACGCCGAAGCCTGCCCGAACAAGGAGGCGAGGCAGCCTCGGCGGAAGTCGTGACACTCCCCTTGCGCTGGCCTGCCTGCTCGGTCTCTTTGCTAATGATCCAAGTGTGTGTTCAGTCTTCGGTCTATTGTATGTAGAATATCCTAGCCAACTCATGGCACCGATGTCGCCGGGATACAGATTGCCTCATAATATTAATATACAGTAGGCTACCGGTAGCCTTTATCGATTACCCTTTTCAGACATAATGGAATGTGGCCCCTTGAAAGCGCCTCGGCTACGGCATGTTTGTTTGTCTGTCTGTTAGGGTAGGCTACACTATAGACTTTTCTTCCCTGGAGATATGAAGGGGCATGCATTTTACTTGTCTGTAAAGGAATAAGGCATTTGAAGTGGGACTAACGTCCATCACTAGGTGTCACGAGAATTTTCCTATCTCAATGGTTGAACTCAACTATCACTCAAGCTTTGAATAATTCCCAGAGGTTGTAAGGCTCTGGTTAATAAATAATTAAACAAAGTCCCAGTCTGCAATAGTCCCCAAAGTGCAGAGCAAGTCCTTTTATTCACACACAAGTTCTTATCATAGGCTACTCCCTGCTTAGACGGGCTGTATTTTTCCATTAGGCCTCTACATGGTTTTCTCGTCTACAAGCCTCTCGCTTCCCCTCCCTAGGTGGGGACATCTGGTTTCCCATCAGACCCCTGCATGCATAGCTGCAAAAGACCACAAGGTCCTATTTCTAAGTCTAACTAAGCTACACACATCATCAGATTATAGTCTTATGATTGTAACACATTTCACACAGTTATACAGTTTCGGGGTGGAATACTTTAGTCATTACCTTAAACATACAAATTCTTCTATCACTAGGCAAACAAAACCATCAATCAAATAATCTTGAGCTACTGCACGCAGACTAATCTCTCATAAAAAAAGTACTTTAAAGTTTGTTACATTTTGACTAATACATTTTGTAGAAATAAAACATCTAGCTTCCATACCAAAAAAAAACGGCATAAAAGAAACAGCACATCAATCAGCAACGTTTGTTGTGGTTAGGGAAAAAATATAGAACATTTTATGCTGGAGCAGAATTCTACTGTCACTTTTTTGAATTATCTGAAAAGTTACCAATTGTAGCTATCGACATGTTACTGTAGCTGCGTTCTATGTCTGTAAAGGGTTGCGGTAGATATAACTTCCTTGCCCAGCCCTAGCGGTCATACATACGTAACAGTACCATTATTCTGCATTGGAAATTGACGTGGAATTGTATGATTTTTACTTATCATTTTAACAGAAAACCGATAAAATAATGGTTGTTTAAACGTTAAGCAAAATTGTCCATTTGTCACATCCCTAAACTGTACAGGGTTTGGGTGGAGGATATCCACCTGAGGCTACATTGGAATGTATGTGTGTGTCAGGGTTTCCGTTAGGAAAATGTGGCGCCGGACATTTGACCGGCAGCGTTGTAATTTAACGGACATTTGAGAAATCTACCGGACCCATAAGCATTGTGTGCGTAAACTGTTTAGGGCGTCCACCCACGGTGCTCAATATGACAGAAATCACATTTCGATTATGGTAATTCATTAACAGAACATGCAACTCGAGGATGCAACGGCATGCATCCTTCTTACCGAATTCCGATGCAAACTTTTAAGATCTTAAAATAACTGCCACATTTACTTTTCCTCAGCCAACAAGAAGATAAATGAATAGCAAAATCACTAGCCTATGCCAATCCAATATCCCCCATAGTAGAAAAGTGTATGTATTCTATTGGGGGATATTGGTCAGCTTGTCGTTCTGTGCAAGAAAGAAAAAGCCTATTCTAAAACTGACTCTGGGACAGTTGTTGGATAATAGATCCCAAATTCATACAATCAGTAGGCCTAGGCTACATTTTACATTTTAGTCATTTAGCAGACGCTCTTATCCAGAGCGACTTACAGTTAGTGAGTGCATACATGTTTTTTTGTTGTTGTTTTTTTTGTTTCATACTTGCCCCCCCGTGGGAATCGAACCCACAACCCTGGCGTTGCAAGCGCCATGCTCTAACAACTGAGCTACACGGGGCCTGCTACATATATATATATATTTTTTTTAATAACAATGAGGCTGATGCAACAGATCAAAATGTTTAGCTTAAAATGTTGACAAACTATTATTTCTTCACATTAAGCGTAGCAATGCACACAAGGCAGTACAGGCTACACGCAAATGCTTGTTCCATAATGCAATTTGGGGAACTACAATTGTCAAAAGCGCACTGCACATGCGAGTGGTTTCATGTGACAGATGGAAATATATTTTTTAAGACGGGCGATCTAAAGACGCAACAACTAGCATGGGTTGCTAATATGACTAGGATTGTGTCTTCGGCTACTGGACAATGAAATAAAGTGCCTCCACGTTTCTATGTTCGGATTTTACTTTGAAGGTAAGACATGTCTCATAATATGAAGTCAAATGTTCAGGTTTTAAACAATAAAGTATATGTTTTAAAAAATGCATACTGCCTCCAGCTCATTGCAAATTGGTGTGTGACGCGCTGAAGGCTGCCAACCATTTCCTATATGCACTTGAATGGCGAATGGGAAGCGCGCTTCAATTACCAGTTGAGAAATAAAAATAGTAGCTCTTTAATCGTCGTCATCAAAACTGTTTTTTACATACGATTGCATTCAGTATTTTGACGCAATGATTGGGCTTATAAAAGCACAAATGAGCTGTTTGAGAAGCTGTAGCAGCGGCTCTCGCGCTGTCTGACAGATTTTCCGCTCATAGGCTCTGTGCGTGTGATAAACATAACGACTAATGAAAATACACACGCGCCAATTTCATTCCACTCAAATTTGCAAATTAACCTTTAGACCGATAATCATGACCGGACAAATGCATTTCCATCGACTGGTATTTCCATCAATGCATTGGTTAAAAAGCATTATTTTGCTATGCGATTCTCTTTTTCTTCTCCCGGACAATTGCCGCCAGTATTATTTATCGGTTTTTCATTATTTATTTTTTTATCGGCACAAAAGCCGGCTATTACCGGCTAACGGAAACCCCGGTGTGTGTGTGTGTGTACCTCTGTATACGATGCAGTCTTCAGTGCCCTCCATAATTATTGGGACAGCGAAGCATTTCTTCTTCTTTTGGCTTTATAATAATGTATGGAGTCATTTTGAAGTCACTATTATAAATAAGAATTGAATATGTTTCTAAACACTTCTACATTAATGTGGATGTTACCATAATTACGGATAATCCTGAATAAATAGCAAATAATGATGAGTGAGAAAGTTAAACGTCTAAATATCATACCCCACCAAAAATGCTAACTTCCCCTGTTATTGTAATGGTGAGGGTTAGCATGTCTTGGGGGTATGATATTTGTGCGTCTAACTTTCTCAGTCATCATTATTCACTATTCATTCAGGATTATCTTTAATCATGGTAGCATCCACATTAATGTAGAAGTGTTTAGAAACATATTATATTCTTATTTAAAATAAAAAGTGACTCCAAAGTTACACAATTCATTATTTACCATTCATTTCTATTGGGCACATAATAATCTGAAACACAACCAAAACAAACAGCAAATGCTTCCAAAAAATGTGTAGAGTCACAAGCTTGATGTAGTCATTGAGTACTTTGTATATGGGACCAAATACTTAACTTTTTACTACACAAGTGAATTTGTCCCCTAAAATGGGGGGACTATGTACAAAAAGTGCTGTAATTTCTAAACAGTTCACCATAGATGGATGAAAAAACCCTAAAATTAAAGCTGACAGTATGCACATTGTTTGATTTCAAATCCAAACTTTTGGAGTATAGAGCCAAAAGTAGAAAAAAAGCTTCACTGTCCCAATAATTACATAGAGTACTGTGTGTTACACAAGATGTGTCCGTACCTGCAGCTGCTGTTGGAGGTGGGTGATCTCTGCAATGCGGATCTCGCGGTTCTTGTTGGTGCTCTCAATCTCATGCCGCTGGGCAGACAGGCGGAAGCGGATGTCCTGCAGCTTGCCCTCCAGCTGGCTCTTCTTGTCGTTCTGGGGGGGGGGGGGGGAGAGAATGAACTGAGAAACTAAATACCATACATTATTCTATTTTCTTCAAAATAATAAAGCAAAGACATCTTGGGACTAAAGGTATGATTGTGTGTCTCTGTCTTTACCAGTGCCTCTAGCTCAAACTCCAGGGTCTTCTTGCGGGCTTTGAGCAGGACAATGTTTTCCTGCTCTCGGTTCCTCTGGGTCAGCAGCTCCTGCCGGCGGTTCCTCTCCCACTCCAACTGACGCTGGCGCTCCAGCTCCCGCTTCGCCGCCTAGCCCGAGGAAACACAGAGGGAATGTTATACTGTATACGTAGAAATTGTACAGAGCCAGCCGTGTTTGAGTGGTAACACTTCCAGTTCTATGCACACATTCAACTTCCTGCCGGAGACCTGGGTTCAATCCCCATTTTCACCCTTTTCTCTACACCTGTCCTGCCCTGTCATTAAAGCAACAAAATAAGAAAAGAGTGAATTTACAATCTTAAAAAGACAAAGTAATAGAATGACTTGAGTATATTCTATTTACATTTACATTTGAGTCATTTAGCAGACGCTCTTATCCAGAGCGACTTACAGGAGCAATTAGGGTTAAGTGCCTTGCTTAAGGGCACATCGACAGATTTTTCACCTAGTCGGCTCGGGGATTAGAACCAGCGACCTTTCGGTTACTGGCACAACGCTCTTACCCACTAAGCTATCTGCCGCCCCAGATTATTTATATGGTTAATATGCACACACACACACCTCTTCTCTGCGGTCTTCCTCTCAATATCTCCATTGGTTCCAGTGTTCTTCACTTTCCCCCTTACACCTCTTTCCCATCTCCCCCCTCCTCCCCTCTCGACCTCCTCCCTCTGCCTCTCCAGCTCCCTCTTTACTCTATCCTCACTGTCCTCCTTCCCCTGTCTTTTCCTTCTCCATCCTCCTTCCCCGTCTTTTCCACCTCTCCTCACCTCTCTCCTCTCGATCTCCTTGCGTCTTTCCTCCTCCCGCTGCCTCTCCAGCTCCCGCTGCTTCTCTAGCTGCCTCTCCAGCTCCTGCTGCCGCCTCCTCTCCTGCTCCAGCCGCTCGCGCTCCTTCCTCTCCTGCTCCTCGCGCTCCAGCGCTGCCAGACGCTCCTGCTCCTTGCGCTGCAGCTCAAGCAGGGCCTGCCGACGCTTCTCCAGCTCCAGGTTGCCCCGCTCAAAGTTCTCCCGCTTCCTGTCCTCGAATGTCACTTTGGGGAGGGAGAGAGAGAGATAGAGGGGTCAGAGAGAGAGAGGGGTCAGAGAGAGAGAGAGCGCGAGAGAGAAGGGGGACATATTTTGCCCTGTTGCCTAATTTTCAGGGGCATTTCTGGGAAAACTGGGGGCATTTTTATATACCATTTATATTTATAAAGGAGCATTTTTCTGTGTGTTTAAAGGAGCAATCTGGGATAGGTAGATACATTTTTGGACTTTAGAATTGACGATACATAGCCATAGATTCTAGTAGAATATAACTCAAATGCTTGTGAGCTTAGTTCAACTGTCGTACCCCATCCGAACCCAAAATATAAACTCGTTTTAACTCCATTGTTCATTAACAATGTAATTGTAAACAAACACTGTATAGCTTCAGAACTATCATTTTGATCCCATGGATGGTCAGTCATTACATCATCCATAGATCTGTCTATGAATTTAAGAGTGGTTACATTTCTCCAGCTTCTGTTTCTCGCTCTCTTGCTCCTCTTCGGCCTCCTCTTGGACCCTCTGGTCAGTGGAGTGCAGGCTGGTGAGAGACACCCCGCTACCGCTACGCACCCTCCTGGAGACGTACAACATCAGACCACAGTCAGTCAGAGCAGCTCACTAACCTACAGCACCTCATATGGGGCATGGATGGGCAGGACCAGGAGTTTTTCCTGACCGTGAGTCTTGACCAGGAAAAACTCCTGGCCGTGGTGTGGGGCAATAAGATCAATAAGGCATCTTTAGACAAGACTGCCTAAGGTAAGTGCCAGTATCAATGCATACTCTGCAGACAGAGGTAGAGCTAAGGGGCATTGCCAGACAGCAGTGGATTGTACCTAAAGGTGGGGGGGATGAAGTCTGGGGGCAGGATAGGGGGCAGGGGCAGGCCGGACATGGCCATGTCAATCAGGTGCATGGCCAGGATGAACTCCTCGGCCGTCAGCTTGCCGTCCTGGTCGATGTCCGACAGGTTCCTACAGAGAAACAGGGAGAGGGAGAGAAAGACGTGGCGTGTTACCACCAGCCATGCACTTCCTGTCCTGTGACTAGCAGAGTGGAGGAAGGTGAAACACAGTGTCGTTTAGGAGCACCCTGACGACAACTGATCCGCGACCAGTTTTGCGTTTCACCCTCCTAAACAGCAACTGATTTATGACTAGTTTTGCAATATGATGGTTAAGCTGATCCTAGATCTGTGCCTAAAGGAAACTTCTACCCAGAGTCAGCGGAGAGAAGCAGTAGTCAGAGAACAGAGCGCAGCAACGTGTGAACATACAGGAATTAGTGCCAAATGTGCCAAAAGTATTGGCCCCACTCCCAGCTCTTACCATATGGATGCCAGCGAGGTCTGGGGCAAACTGGACTGCATCAGGATGGTTCTTGCTTGGGGTCCTGAAAGAAACAGCTCTTTTGAGAAACCTGATGTGGATTGGATAAACCGCAGTGTGTATTGTTGACAGACAAGGTCTTACCGGTGAGGTGGCCGCTCATCATCTTGTCGTGGCTGTTGAAGAGCTGCCGGTACTTTAGCCGTGACGAGCTGGGAACAGCCCAGTCAATGGGAGGCTGGGAGGGCACAGGGGTGCTGAGATGGAGAGGGGGGAGACAATATTTTATTAAAAGCGTCTTTTCAAACAGACTTTTTGATAACACTGTAAGATCATATTTTATAACTTAGCTAGTCATGTTGGAAATAGATTTATAAATAGCCCGTTTTTGGATTGCGTAAACAGTAATTGTTTGATTGCGGGGATGCAGGTCTGTTCCAAACAAGTGTGCTTGCTCTAGTTCCTCAACGGCACAGCTAGCAGAGCTTATAGTTGAAGACCCTTCTTTGAGTCAACAAAGTGCATTGAAATTACTTAGGAACTGTGCACACGTTGGAGAGGTGTGTGGCCACTTGGAGACACCAGTTAGACCTCTCACTCAAACCCTTGTCATTTTTTGTCTTATGTTGCACCTACCCCAACATTTACAATAATATTCTTACCATGTAACTGAATGTATCCAGAGTATTTTCAGATTTCATTATCAACAAATGCGTCTGAAAAGTACAGTACAGTGCCTTGCAAAAGTATTCATCCCCCTTGGCGTTTCTCCTATTTTGTTGCATTACAACCTGTAATTTAAATTGATTTTTATTTGGATTTTATGTAATGGACATACACAAAATAGTTCAAATTGGTGAAGTGAAAAGAAAAAAATAACTTGTTTCAAACAATTCAAAAAAATGTATAACAGAAAAGTGGTGCGTGCATATGTATTCACCCCCTTTGCTATGAAGCCCCTAAATAAGATCTGGTGCAACCAATTGCCTTCAGAAGTCACATAATTAGTTAAATAAAGTCCACCTGTGTGCAATCTAAGTGTCACATGATCTCAGTATATATATATATACTGTTCTGAAAGGCCCCAGAGTCTGCAACACCAATAAGCAAGGGGCACCACCAAGCAAGCAGCACCATGAAGACAAAGGAGCTCTCCAAACAGGTCAGGGACAAAGTTGTGGAGAAGTACAGATCAGGGTTGGGTTATAAAAAAATATCCCAAACTTTGAACATCCCACGGAGCACAATTAAATCCATTATTAAAAATGGAAAGAATATGGCACCACAACAAACCTGCCAAGAGAGGGCCGCCCACCAAAACTCACAGACCAGGCAAGGAGGGCATTAATCAGAGAGGCAACAAAGAGACCAAAGATAACCCTGAAGGAGCTGCAAAGCTCCACAGAGGAGATTGGAATATCTGTCCATAGGACCACTTTAAGCCGTACACTCCACAGAGCTGAGCTTTACGGAAGAGTGGCCAGAAAAAAGCCATTGCTTAAAAGAAAATAATAAGCAAAACACGTTCGCCAAAAGGATTGTGGGAGACTCCCCAAACATATGGGAGAAGGTACTCTGGTCAGATGAGACTAAAATTGAGCTTTTTGGCCATCAAGGAAAATGCTATGTCTGGCACAAACCCAACATCTCGCATCACCCCGAGAACACCATCCCCACAGTGAAGCATGGTGGTGGCAGCATCATGCTGTGGGGATGTTTTTCATTGGCAGGGACTGGAAAACTGGTCAGAATTGAAGGAATGATGGATGGCGCTAAATACAGGGAAATTCTTAAGGGAAACCTGTTTCAGTCTTCCAGAGATTTGAGACTGGGACGGAGGTTCACCTTCCAGCAGGACAATGACCCTAATTATACTGCTAAAGCAACACTCGAGTGGTTTAAGGGGAAACATTTAAATGTCTTGGAATGGCCTAGTCAAAGCCCAGACCTCAATCCAATTGAGAATCTGTGGTATGACTTAAAGATTGCTGTACACCAGCAGAACCCATCCAACTTGAAGGAGCTGGAGCAGTTTTGCCTTGAAGAATAGGAAAAAATCCCAGTGGCTAGATGTGCCAAGCTTATAGAGACATACCCCAAGAGACTTGCAGCTGTAATTGGTGCAAAAGGTGGCTCTACAAAGTATTGACTTTGGGGGGGTGAATAGTTATGCACGCTCAAGTTCTGTTTTTTTGTCTTATTTGTTTCACTGTTTCAACTGACAAAATGGGACGTAGCCTGTTCATCTCTCTTTTTAACAAAGGGATCTCCTCTCAAAGTGATGTGATGGCTTTTTAATGAGCTAGCCTGTTGTGTGTTCAAAAAAAGACTCAGTGCCTTGATAAAATTAGAGTATGCAGCAGTCTAATAAGCACAAACATAGCTACATCTGTCCCTTTGAGTTTGGGCCCAGCGAGCAGGGGCCATTCTTCCAAGTGGGTGACATGTGACTCACCTAGTAGTCTCAAAGGACTGTCCCTGCAGCTTGGCACTGGAGCGGTTGAAAGAAGAGCTTTTGTTGAGTGTCGTGGCTGAAAGAGAGAGAGAGAGAGAGAGAGAGAGAGAGAGAGAGAGAGAGAGAGATGAGAGAAAGAGACCGAGAGAGGCGGGGAGCAGAATAAAACGGGGAATCACAAAAGGAATTTGTTAGTGAGGTTAAGAAAGGATTAAATCAACAAAGTGGAGATGATCTAAAACGTTGCCAGAGGGCTTCACTGTCATTCACCAGAACTCCACTTTGACTATTCAGTGGCGTGTCTAACGGCGATGCTGATTGGTCCATACCTGGGTGGGAGAAGCCAGTCATTGGTGCTCCGTTGGCCATGGGGGGTACAGACGGGGGAACCGATGACACCAGAGGGGGGGACATACCCACCCCTGGCATAGGAGGCATGGGTAATGGAGGGACTGCTGGGAGGCCTGGCATTACCCCTAAACCATGCATTCCTGCAGGGTGGAATGAAGTAAAGTATGTCAGACAAACATAAGACAACAGACCTCTATTCATTTTCTATTGACAAGCCTATTCTTTTAACACTGTGTCTACAAGTGCTGAATTCTGACTGATTCTCTTGAAAATGTACGATATTTCTCTGGTCATAAACAAGCAGTGCCTTCCTAGAGACAGCAATATGCCCTGGTAGTCAGGGGGAGCAACACTATATTGACCCAGACCGTTGCCTGTTCAAATAACAGAAACGGCATATTATGGTTGTGCTTTGAGATAGTAGGTAATCAGGTAGTTAAAGGTTTTAAATTAAATTGCCCCAGTGAAACATTTAGCAATGTACATAGATGGTGCAGATGATATGGCTTTGAGCACTCTAAAGTCCATTTAGTTAATGGTGGCCATTGGGACTGTAACATGGGTGTATCTCATAGCCTAGGGCATACTCTCCTAGTGTCTTTTACATCACCTGCACTGAACTGAAGAAAGAACAAGTGGACAGGTCAAAGCAAAAATTTAATAAAATTCCATCCGCCACACTGCTTTTACCTATCCTGCTGTACAGATCAGTGCAGATGGAAGAAAGGAAGCCACTTTAGACTATTGAGATGCACCCTGCCCCTGTCTTGTCCCTTACCGAAGGGTGCGGTGGGCGGCGGGGGCAGGGTGAGGGGCGGCTGCTTCATGGAGGGGGGCAGAGAGGGGGGCAGGGGGTGACCCTGCAGCTTGAGCTTGATCAGCTTCATGGCGATGGAGAACTCGTGCATGTCCATCTTCCCATCATTGTTCATATCGGCCAGGGCCCTGAGAGAAGGAGAGAGAGCGAGAGAGGGAGAAAGTAAAGAGATATGATTACATTATGCTGATTATTATCATTGTTGTTCTGAATCTCAGCTTTAGCAATATGTCCTTGTGAATGTCATGTCGATAAAGCAATTGGATAGAGAGAGAGAGACAGTGGAGTGGAAGACGGAGAGAGGAGAATGACAAAAACAAGAGAAAAGCAAAGAGAAAGAGAGAGAACAGTGGTTGACATTAGCAGCAGATTGAGTTAAGAATGGGAGAGATGGAGGGAGAGGAAGCAGAGAGGAGACACTCACCATATCTGTGCGAGGATGGGAGGAGGCAGGCCTGACTGCAGGAAGAAATTCCTGGCCTGGTCACCTACGGACAATGAGAAGGGAAAATAATATTATAATACTGTTGAGTCTGTTGGACACCATTATGGATATATCTATTCAAACACACAGAGAGAAAAAAGCCAGTTGGTTCCTCTTTCAATTTGAACACAATCATCAATTTTGAGATGTATGAAATGACTGGGGCTTGCGAAATACTTATTGCTGAAGGAGCAGAGTGAAACAAGCACTTATACTTCTCTAAAATGATGAGAGGTTGTGCAAGGTTGTGTTTGAAATAAAAACACCAAGGCAATGATATCAGATGATCATGTGAGTGTGAGTGACTGAAATGTCCTTTCTAATAGTGAGGAGAGTGGAGAATGACGTTGCTTGGGGGAGTGGAGAATGACTTGCTTGGGGGAGTGGAGAATGACTTGCTTGCTACTGTGTGGGCTGTAGGGAATGAAACACTTCAAGGCCCGCCCTAGCCTCAGTCCACCACGCTTCATTAACCCTTCACCTTTGACCTGGTACTGTGTGTGTGTGTGTGTGTGTGAGAGATATAAGACAAAATACTTATCAAGTGATCTTCTGCTATCTTCAAGTAACTTCTGCCTGACATGATGCTGTACTGCAAAGAATGTCCTCCACCACTCTTTCCCTTCATTTGTCCATCCCCTCCCCCCTCCCCTGCTGTGAGTGAAGCTGACCTGTGATGTAGCCAGCTGGTGTGGGGGCCAGGCTGACAAACTGCTGGTCATGTTTGGCTCGCTCGTCCAGAGAGATCACCCAGGCGTCCAGACCCCCTGAGAGAGAAAAATCAGTTGAAGCTCTCACCTGGCCTGTGTGTGGGGGTGGTTCAGTTAAGTGTCTGTATAGTCATGGAATTCAGCATTAAGGTGAGAGTCGGGGGGGGGGGGGGGGGAAGAGAGAGAGAGAGAGAGAGGGGAGTAAATGAAGTGGTGGTTGGTGATCTGAGGTTACCACCATACACCAAGTCTGCGTCCCAAATGCCACCCAATTTCCTATATAGTGCACTATGTAGGTTAGGGGTATTCAACTCTTACCCTACGAGGTACGGCGCCTGCTGGTTCTCTGTTCTACCTGATCATTAATTGCACCCACCTGGTGTCTCAGGTTGAAATCAGTCCAGGATTAAAGGGGAGCAATGCTAAAATGCAGTGGAACTGGCTTCGAAGGTTCAGAGTTGAGTTTGAGGAATCTACTAATGTTCTGTATTATGTCATGTTTCATGTTTTGTGTGGACCCCAGGAAGAGTAGCTGCTGCTTTTGCAACAGCTAATGGGGATCCTAATCAAATACCAAAATACCAAATCCTGACTGGTTGCATCACCCCCTGGTATGGCAACTGCTCGGCCTCCGACCGCAAGGCACTACAGAGGGTAATGCGTACGGCCCGGTACATCACTGGGGCCAAGCTTCCTGCCATCCAGGACCTCTATACCAGGCGGTGTCAGAGGAAGGCCCTAAAAATTGCCAAAGACTCCAGCCACCCTAGTCATAGACTGTTCCCTCTGCTACCGCACGGCAATTTATTTAAACTTCAGTTTATTTTAGTCAATACTTTCTTAACACGTATTTTTCTTAAAACTGCATTGTTGTTTAAGGGCTTGTAAGTAAGCATTTCACTGTAAGGTCTACACCTGTTTTATTCGGCGCACGTGACAAATACAATTTTATTTGATTTCTCACACACATACGGACGCTTGTGACACAAACAAACACACACACACACACACACACACACACAGTGTGCCAGTCAGACGGCTGTCAATCTGGTTTGGTGGCGGGTGGCACTCACCTCCGAAGGGCGTGGGAAACTGAGCCATTGTTCAGTCGGTCAGTCAACTGCAGCCTCGCTGCAAACACCTGAAAGACAAGACAGGAAGGTCCACTACAGTCACTCTACTGTGTCTATCCTCTCCTCTTCGCTCTTCTCCTCTCAAAAGACAGATGCTCCCCTCAAAGGAGGAAATCAAAGCAGTTTCATGTTCTATGGCTTTTTCCATTCCTTTCCTCAGGGGGAGGGCAGGCCAGGCAGCAAGTTGTTAACAAACAGATAAACATTTTGCAGCAGAGACTTGTAATGACTTGTTTGGTAATAGGTAGATAGGCTTACATGCATCACTTGACTGTAAAGTACAGTGAGTAGGTCAGTGGTGTTGCACTGGCAGCCAAATGGTTGTCATGGGGTGCATCCCAAAAGGCACCTTTATAGTGCATTGCTTACTGGTCAAAGGTAATGCACTATAAAAGGGAATAGGGTGCCATTTGAGACGTAGCCATGATGTACGGGTGGATTGTCATCTGGATAACAACACTGAATCGAGGCTAGCAACACTGAACCATGCATGAGAGCATCAGCCGTTCCGGACGACTGTGTGATCACGCTCTCCGTAGCCGATGTGAGTAACACTTTTCTCACAAGGCCGCAGGGCCAGACGGATTACCAGGACGCGTACTCAGAGCATTTTCAACCTCTACCTGACCCAGTCTGTAATGTTTCAAGCAGACCACCATAGTACCTGTGCCCAAGAACGCCAAGGTAACATGTCTAAATGATTATCACCACATAACACTCTCATCTGAAATGCTTTGAAAGGCTGGTCATGGCTCACATCAACACCATCATCCCAGACACCGTGGACCAACTCCAATTTACATACCGCCCCAACAGATCCACAGATTACACAATTGCTATTGAATTCCACACTGCTATTTCCCATCTAGACAAAAGGAACACCTACGTGAAAATGCTATTCATTGACTACAGCTCAGCCTTCAACACCATAGAGCCCTCCAAGCTCATCCCGAAGCTAAGGACCCTGGAATTAAACACTTCCCTCTGCAACTGGACCCTGGACACACACGACACCAACACCATCATTAAGTTTGCCTACAACACGGTGGTAGGCCAGATCACCGATGATACAGGGCGGCAGGTAGACTAGTGGTTAAGAGCGTTGGGCCAGTAACCAAAAGGTTGCTGGTTCAAATCCCTGAGCCGACTAGGTGAAAAATCTGTCGATGTGCCCTTGAGCAAGGCACTTAAACCCAATTTATCCTGTAAGTAGCTCTGGATAAGAGCGTCTGCTAAATACCTCATAAAAAATTCTTAAATATTACCTACAGGGAGGAGGTAAGAGACCTGGCAGTGTGGTACCAGGACAACAACCTCAACGTGAGCAAAACAAAAGGAGCTGATCGTGGACTACAGGAAACGGAGGGCCGAGCACGCCCCCATCCACATCGCCAGGGCTGTAGTGGAGCAGGTTGAAAGCTTTAAGTTCCTCGGTGTCCAGCAACTGCTTGGCATCTGACTGCAAGGCGCTACAGAGAAGAGTACGTATGGCCCAGTACATCACTGTGGACGAGATTCCTGTCATCCAAGACCTCTATACCAGGCGGTGTCAGAGGAAGGACGTAAAACAAAACAAAAAAAGACTCCAGCCACTCCTGCTACCGCACAGCAAGTGGTACAGATGCATCAAGTTTGGAACCAACAGGACCCTGAACAGCAGCCATAAGACTGCTAAATAGTTCACCAATAGCTACCCTGAATATCTGCATTGACCCTTTTTGCACTAACTCTTTTGACTCATCACATGCGCTGCTGTTACTGTTTATTGTCTATCCTGTTGCCTAGTCACTTTATCCCTACATCTACATATATTCATCAATTACCTCGTACCCCTGCACATCAACTCGGTACTGGCACCGTCTACATAGCAAAGTTATCATTACTTGTGTTATTATTTTTTTATGTTTAGATTATTTCTCATTTTTCACTGTTATTCTATACCTGTTGTTTACGACGCATGTGACAAATAACATTTGGATTTTATTTTCATTAGGCAGAACTCTGGCCTTAAATGGCCTAGCTACATCCTGGGGTGGGTGTCACAAGAGGGGAGGAAGGGGGACGGAGGGGTCCTCTTCATGTTTTTATGAAGGGGAGGAATGAGATACAAAGAGGGGGGGGGAAGATGGAGGGAGAGCGAACGGAGGAGAGGCAGAGAGGCAATGTTATCTCCCAGCTGTGTAAACGTCATGGTGAGAGAGGACGGCCATAGCCGGAGAATTAATAAAACAAAGACATGGGGGAAGGGAGCAGCACACACATACACACCCCCCCCCCCCCCCAAGGTATTTTAATCAGAGCCAGATCACCCCTCCCGTACAGCCCTCACAGTGGGAGCCCCAAGCAGGCTGAAACATTTCAACGACACGGAGACACAGACACTGTATCCTTCTCTCTGTTCATAAAAAATAAGTTATTTCCTACGACATTCGCATCCTAGGCAGTCTGTTTAAAAAATATATATAAAAAAGAGAAAAAACCCGAAATAAAAGCTTGTTCGTGTGCGTTAATTACAGGAGGAGTGACTGTTTCAGGCGCTTTGAAGGGTTCTGTTTCGTAAGAGCAGAGCCAGGCCAGCAGTGCACTGACGCTGCTGCCAGCTTCGCTCTCTGTCCTCCAGGCAGAAAGGCTTGAGTCAACACAAAGTGCAGAGACAGAGCGGAGCATATTACCATGCTGTTCCACAGTGATTCACCATCCTCCACTTCATTCACATCTCATCTCCCTGGAGAGGCGCACAAGAGCCTCGTCACACACTACGTCTGAGAATAGCCTCACACTTACTGACTCACTCAGACAGGCACTCCTCACACATACCAAGCAAATGAGGGCCGAGCGCAGTAAGTGGGGGGGCAAGGCTGTTTTGTCCCTCTGACCTAGTTTCTGATTGTCTTTGGTGGTGATGACCCTATTCCCTTTATAGTGCACAACAAAGTTGTTTTTGTTGTCATTTTTATTATTTCTACCCCTTTTTCTCCCCAATTTTCGTGGTATCCAAATTGGTAGTTACAGTCTTGTCCCATCGTTGCAACTCCCGTACGGACTCGGGAGAGGCTAAGGTCGAGAGCTGTGCGTCCTCCGAAACACAACCCAGCCAAGCCGCACTGCTTCTTGACACAATGCCCGCTTAACCCGGAAGCCAGCCGCACCAATGAAGCCTGGCGACCGTGTCGGGGCGGCAGGGGCGGCAGGTAGCTTAGTGGTTAAGAGCGTTGTGCCAGTAACCGAAAGGTCGCTGGTTCTAATCCCCGAGCCGACTAGGTGAAAAATCTGTCGTTGTGCCCTTGAGCAAGGCACTTAACCCTAATTGCTCTGCGCCCGGCCCGCAACTGGAGTCGCTAGTGCGCGACGGGACAAGAACATCCCTGCCGGCCAAACCCTCCCCTAACCTGGACAACGCTGGGCCAACTGTGCGCCGCCCCATGGGTCTCCCGGTCGCTGCCGGCTGTGTCAGCCTGGACTCGAACCAGGATCTCTAGTTACCACTGCGCCACTCGGGAGAATAGTGCACAACTTTTGACCAAGGCTATGGTCAAGGTAGTGCACTACATTAGGAATAGGGCGCCATTTGGGATGCACCCACACAGACAGGGAGGGAAGGTTAGAGAAGGATTCTATGGAATTATCAGTTTGCTTGTTGTTGTTGTTCCAGCCAGCCAGGACCGGGGCTCTGATGTCACTGGTCTGGGACTGGAAGGTGGATTTATCTGCATAATCTGATCACTTAGCAAGCTCCTGTTGTGGTGGAACGCCCATAATAAGACAGACAGGCTAGACGCCTAGGGCTGGGGCTAGTAGACAAGTGCACCGCAGCACATGATGTCATAGCAGAGGTTTGCAGTCTGAGGGAGGGCACGGCCCAATGCAGGCTCAGAAGTTGAACTCCTGTGACAGACAACAAACAGACACAGATGGATGGACAGACACACAGAAACCTGGCACACAGGTGAAGGGGAGAATTGTTCTTGGAAACATGTGGGCAGTAATCAACTGGCTACATAGCCTATTCCGCAGAAGACAAGCTAGGCCAGGCCTATATAATTTTTGAAGGACATCACATTACGAGTTGGATTCGGTATTGTTTTTGCAGATTAAACACAATTACAAATACATAAAAAGGACGCTTATGATTTTTCAGGATGGCCAATCACTACATACACCCATGTTACATACACCCCTGTTCCACCCTTCTAAGGCAGACTGTCATATTAACACAGTAACACTAACTAATAGACGAAGAGGTGAGTCATTACTTTGGTCATGACTGAGTCCTACTTCTCCTCAGAGTCTAAGGCTTAGACACCAATTTACGCTCTCCTCTCCAGTGTTCTCATCGCTCAGCAGTTTTATGGCCTGTAGTATAAAACTTCTCTCCTCCAGCCCCTCTGTGGGCCTCTAAGTGTCCCACTATTTCATGCACCACTTCCCTCTTTTTAATAGGCCCAACACAGGAAGCGGGTATCGTTTGGCCCTGTATACTGCAGTGTAAAATATCAATTTTTATGGATATATACAAAGAAATGGCAATATAAAAAACAGGTCAAACGACATGAAATGCAGCTAGTTTGCTGCCTTACCAGCTTCAGTTAGAAGTTATTCCTTTATCTGTGTAGTTGGCTAGCTCCTCTGAACAGTGTCCTGACGAGAAAACACATTTTCTATGCCAGGTGAAATTGCACATCATTAGCTCAATGCAGCTACTTTGCTGTTATTCTAGCTGCACTGTTTGAACTGACGGTGTTAGCCCTAGTTGGCTAGCTAGCAAGCAAGCAATGGATAAGAGTGTTGCCACCCAGCATGGCAACGGAACATTTAGAAAGAACGACTGTTGCAATGAATTAGTAACTGTAGCTATTAACTGTAACGCGAGTGCTTTAGGGTGACATGGGTCGAGGCCCTCTCATTGGGCCCGCAAGAGCAGATGTGTGTCCACTAAGCCCTGAGTACACTAAGTTAGTCAGGCTTAGG